CCTCACGGACATGGCGTAACTTGCTGACGTGACTATATGGGCCCTCACGGACATGGCGTAACTTGCTGACGAGACTATATGGGCCCTCACGGACATGGCGTAACTTGCTGACGTGACTATATGGGCCCTCACGGACATGGCGTAACTTGCTGACGTGACTATATGGGCCCTCACGGACATGGCGTAACTTGCTGACGTGACTATATGGGCCCTCACGGACATGGCGTAACTTGCTGACGTGACTATATGGGCCCTCACGGACATGGCGTAACTTGCTGACGTGACTATATGGGCCCTCACGGACATGGCGTAACTTGCTGACGTGACTATATGGGCCCTCACGGACATGGCGTAACTTGCTGACGTGACTATATGGGCCCTCACGGACATGGCGTAACTTGCTGACGTGACTATATGGGCCCTCACGGACATGGTGTAACTTGCTGACGTGACTATATGGGCCCTCACGGACATGGCGTAACTTGCTGACGTGACTATATGGGCCCTCACGGACATGGCGTAACTTGCTGACGTGACTATATGGGCCCTCACGGACATGGCGTAACTTGCTGACGTGACTATATGGGCCCTCACGGACATGGCGTAACTTGCTGACGTGACTATATGGGCCCTCACGGACATGGCGTAACTTGCTGACGTGACTATATGGGCCCTCACGGACATGGCGTAACTTGCTGACGTGACTATATGGGCCCTCACGGACATGGCGTAACTTGCTGACGTGACTATATGGGCCCTCACGGACATGGCGTAACTTGCTGACGTGACTATATGGGCCCTCACGGACATGGCGTAACTTGCTGACGTGACTATATGGGCCCTCACGGACATGGCGTAACTTGCTGACGTGACTATATGGGCCCTCACGGACATGGCGTAACTTGCTGACGTGACTATATGGGCCCTCACGGACATGGCGTAACTTGCTGACGTGACTATACGTGCCCTCACGGACATGGCGTAACTTGCTGACGTGACTATATGGGCCCTCACGGACATGGCGTAACTTGCTGACGTGACTATATGAGCCCTCACGGACATGGCGTAACTTGCTGACGTGACTATATGGGCCCTCACGGACATGGCGTAACTTGCTGACGTGACTATATGGACCCTCACGGACATGGCGTAACTTGCTGACGTGACTATATGGGCCCTCACGGACATGGTGTAACTTGCTGACGTGACTATATGGACCCTCACGGACATGGCGTAACTTGCTGACGTGACTATATGGGCCCTCACGGACATGGTGTAACTTGCTGACGTGACTATATGGACCCTCACGGACATGGTGTAACTTGCTGACGTGACTATATGGGCCCTCACGGACATGGCGTAACTTGCTGACGTGACTATATGGGCCCTCACGGACATGGTGTAACTTGCTGACGTGACTATATGGGCCCTCACGGACATGGCGTAACTTGCTGACGTGACTATATGGGCCCTCACGGACATGGCGTAACTTGCTGACGTGACTATATGGGCCCTCACGGACATGGTGTAACTTGCTGACGTGACTATACGTGCCCTCACGGACATGGTGTAACTTGCTGACGAGAGTATATGGGCCCTCACGGCGTAACTTGCTGACGAGAGTATATGGGCCCTCACGGACATGGCGTAACTTGCTGACGTGACTATATGGGCCCTCACGGACATGGCGTAACTTGCTGACGTGACTATATGGGCCCTCACGGACATGGCGTAACCGGCTGACGTGACTATATGGGCCCTCACGGACATGGCGTAACTTGCTGACGTGACTATATGGGCCCTCACGGACATGGTGTAACTTGCTGACGTGACTATATGGGCCCTCACGGACATGGCGTAACCGGCTGACGTGACTATATGGGCCCTCACGGACATGGCGTAACTTGCTGACGTGACTATATGGGCCCTCACGGACATGGTGTAACTTGCTGACGAGACTATATGGGCCCTCACGGACATGGCGTAACTTGCTGACGTGACTATATGGGCCCTCACGGACATGGCGTAACTTGCTGACGTGACTATATGGGCCCTCACGGACATGGCGTAACTTGCTGACGTGACTATACGTGCCCTCACGGACATGGTGTAACTTGCTGACGTGACTATACGGGCCCTCACGGACATGGCGTAACTTGCTGACGTGACTAAATGGGCCCTCACGGACATGGCGTAACTTGCTGACGTGACTATATGGGCCCTCACGGACATGGCGTAACTTGCTGACGTGACTATACGTGCCCTCACGGACATGGTGTAACTTGCTGACGTGACTATATGGGCCCTCACGGACATGGCGTAACTTGCTGACGTGACTATATGGGCCCTCACGGACATGGCGTAACTTGCTGACGAGACTATATGGGCCCTCACGGACATGGCGTAACTTGCTGACGTGACTATATGGGCCCTCACGGACATGGCGTAACTTGCTGACGTGACTATATGGGCCCTCACGGACATGGCGTAACTTGCTGACGTGACTATATGGGCCCTCACGGACATGGCGTAACTTGCTGACGTGACTATATGGGCCCTCACGGACATGGCGTAACTTGCTGACGTGACTATATGGGCCCTCGCGGACATGGTGTAACTTGCTGACGTGACTATATGGGCCCTCACGGACATGGCGTAACTTGCTGACGTGACTATATGGGCCCTCACGGACATGGCGTAACTTGCTGACGTGACTATATGGGCCCTCACGGACATGGCGTAACTTGCTGACGTGACTATATTTGGGCCTTGACGGACATGGCGTACCCGGTTGAGACTATACCGGGGGTCTCCAAACTTTTCAGTCCAAGGGCCGCATTGACTATCAAATTTCAGTTCAGGGGCCAGTTTCTTCCTGACATGTCTTTGATAAAGTTCCTCAGCCATCACCAAAAAAACGGTTTTTCCGTGGACAAAATGATCTCCGCGGGACGGATGAGAGGACCTCGCGGGCCGCAACCGGCCCGCAGTTTGGAGACCCCTGGACTATAAGAACAGATTTTTTAAAAAATCAATTAAACTTAAACTAACTACAATTATAATAATTCATGAAATTTATACCTTTCAGTATCGAACTTTTCTGCAAGTATATCTGGTATTATTATTAACAGGTTTGATAAAGCACCATTCACAGAAAGAAAGGGGAGACAACCCTACAACAAGGTTGTCCTTGATTCAGAGTAACACACACAGATACAAACATCTTTTTAAAAAAAACACAAAAAAACCTGTGCTTAGAAACATTCAAATATATTATTTAATGAAAAAGTACATTCAAGTACATAATTAAATAAATATAAAAGTTTTAAATAAATTAATGCATGTAAATGAACACGTCTAATTAAATAATTCACTGAAAAAGCAAACAAATGAGGCATTAAAAAAGTGGAAATTAAAAACTACACAAATATGTTTAAAAAAGCAGAAGTAACAAGAAATAAATTGAGTTAACAAAGACAGGTATAGTGCAATTGTAAACTACCATTGATAGCACTCAACAAATATTCCAATAAAAAAAATTATAGCATAAAATTTAAAGTCTTGAATGTAGATTACTTAAAAAAATTAAAAACAATATACACTATAGATCTATAGATACAATAAATGATTTAAATACTGTTTTACAATATATGAATCCATATATTATTTTGCAATGAATTTGATTTTCTGGTGATAAATAATGGAGTATTTACAAGACAGACATTTTATAAATATTTCAACAGTAATCAATTAAATTCATTGAATCAATATCTTCAATTCCTGTTCACTTTTCTTTTTAGAAAGAAAGATCATTACAGAATGAGTGCTGTATACACAGCTTTGCTATTATAACAGAATTAAGCTATATACACAACATTAGTTCTATTAAGCTGTATATACAACATTAGTGCTATTATAACAATTAAGCTGTATACTCAACGTCTAGTTTTATATAATAATTAAGCAACATCTAGTTTTTAACATATTTGACAAATCAATTTTTTCTGCATATTTGTTCTGTTCTCATCAAGCACAACGTGTAAGAAGCCATGAGCAGTTATCATTAAAGTTCCAGCACATATACAATGACTAGATCATGGAGAATTGGTTAAAGAAAATTCTAAAATGTTGTGGTAGCTAGCTTAAACTTCCTTGAGCACTTGTTTAAATAATTGGAGAACTTTCACCCATTTGATAAAGACAAGCTTTCATCAAACACAACATACAGTATGAAACAAAAACATTTAAATGGAAAATAAATCGCTGCAATTTGAGTGGATGTTCAATAAGGGCATGTTACAAGACAAACTTTTGTCCACTACCTTTTATAAAGTCTATCTACTAATACTGCTAGAGGCAATTGCTGAGTATGTAGAAGAAGTAAGATATTTCAAAATGTAGACACTTAACATTTTGGGATAGTGTATCTGTGTACATCTCCCACAAGCAACATAGAAGATTAAGCTGTAGTGCACCATTTGATGCAAGTATTAAACAACACACACAATCTACCTACGCTCTCCATGAAACGAACTAGGCAAACTTCTATGAGTTTGCAGGTTATCAACTAATCAAAATTGATCAACAGAAAACAAGTGATGATAGTTGTCAGAAAACTAAATTTTGCAAAACTGTCCATTAATACTTTCTTTCTATCCATCTGTAGTCCATTTTTTTACAGTTCATTCAACTTGTTACTTTTAGAGAATAGGTTTATAATAAAAACAAATTGATGGCCTCAAAACAACCTTTCTATGAAAAATATGTTGGATACAAATCATACATAAACTTAACAATAGTGTAGAGATGCTATAACAATTAACATTTCTTTTGTGTCCATTTGAGTGCTCCTAGACAAAAATTCAGGAAAATATCTATTTACAAGCAATGTATATGTGGTGGCTGACAGCAAGCATGAATTGTAGCAACACTTGCTATACATGTATCTTAAATCAAACTGGGGGGGGGGGGGGGGGGGGGGGGAAAGAGAGAAATGGTGCTTACAAAATACAAAAAAAAAAAAATGTTGCTTGACCTCTTTACAATTAATATCAAAAAGTTCCTTAGAGTTTCCATTTTGATACTTTAAAACAAAAACATTCAAATCACAATATACATGCTCTTTTCTTTTGCATGGCACTACACATTTGTCTTAAAATATTGTTTGAAAAACAAAATTGTATAGAAAAATATTTAAAATAAATTTTACTTTTGACATTTACAGCCAATCAAGTAAAACCTCTATTATGTTTAGTACTCAGAAGATCAATAGATTCATTAGAATAAGTTAAAATACAATAACATACATATTTAAATTGCTAACATCAATAAATAAAAGAGCCTATGTTTAGAACAGTATGAATGCAATAGGTCAACACTAGACCATCTGTGGTTAGTTATCTGTGGAAGTATATCACTATGGAACATGCACAAATAATAGTCATATGAGTGCTAATATGTTTGTCTTTTGTACATATTACTTTAAAGGAACGTTTTTACACCTACAAGATCAGCATTGTGCCTATCTGGCCTTACTACACTTCCATTTTACAAATACATTTTTTTAATGGATATAGAGGGAACAGTATAGAAGAGGGTATAGAGTAGACAGGATGGTAGTTATCAAGGCCTTACTACAATACCATTTTACAAATACATTTTTTTAATGGATATAGAGGGAACAGTATAGAAGAGGGTATAGAGTAGACAGGATGGTAGTTATCAAGGCCTTACTACACTACCATTTTACAAATACATTTTTTTAATGGATATAGAGGGAACAATATAGAAGAGGGTGTAGAGTAGACAGGATGGTAGTTATCAAGGCCTTACTACACTACCATTTTACAAATACATTTTTTTAATGGATATAGAGGGAACAGTATAGAAGAGGGTATAGAGTAGACAGGATGGTAGTTATCAAGGCCTTACTACACTACCATTTTACAAATTCATTTTTTAATGGATATAGAGGGAACAATATAGAAGAGGGTATAGAGTAGACAGGATGGTAGTTATCAAGGCCTTACTACACTACCATTTTACAAATACATTTTTTTAATGGATATAGAGGGAACAATATAGAAGAGGGTATAGAGTAGACAGGATGGTAGTTATCAAGGCCTTACTACACTACCATTTTACAAATACATTTTTTTAATGGATATAGAGGGAACAATATAGAAGAGGGTGTAGAGTAGACAGGATGGTAGTTATCAAGGCCTTACTACAATACCATTTTACAAATACATTTTTTTAATGGATATAGAGGGAACAATATAGAAGAGGGTATAGAGTAGACAGGATGGTAGTTATCAAGGCCTTACTACACTACCATTTTACAAATACATTTTTTTAATGGATATAGAGGGAACAATATAGAAGAGGGTGTAGAGTAGACAGGATGGTAGTTATCAAGGGGCACAAAGCAATCTTGTAGGAGGAACAAGGTTGGAGCAATTGTATGCAAAAATAAATATGCTTCACTGAGAGAAAACACAACCAATTCAATAACCACATACCACTAATGATTTACACACTCAAGAGGGTTAAACATTTTAAAATAAAGAGTTTAACAATATTTGCACATCCCAAAAATATTATTAAAAATCCTAAGCTAGACAGCACAACATAGTTTAGTACAAGCATGGAAGAGAATCAAATGGCTTGGCTATAAAAAAAAAGTTGTTAAACATCCAAGTGACATGAACAATGAGAGTAGCTTCATCAAGAACCAATTCACATCTTTATTTGTTGACTCATTGCTAAATGAATTTCATTTTCAGGTCTAGTTTTATTTTCAGCTCGAAGTTGGTCATCTAATAAACTCCCAAACACAGTAGCCTTGCTTGTGTAGGGCAACTCATCAAATTTAAAGGCTAATCCTAAAATAATGTTCAGAGATGACATATCATATCTGTGACAGCCTGTGTACCTAAACAAGGGCTTTCTAAAGTAATTACAGCCAGAGTTCTGTGCACCAGGTGGACTGATGCATTCCTCAAGCAAAGCACATTTCACCCAAGGTAGCATTATTTCTTTGGCAACTGATTCAGTATTGTAGATAATCAGATGGGACGTTTCAACTGCATGCTAAAAATAAATAGAAACATAAAAAACAATCTTTTTGAAAAAATAAACATGTGCAGTGTTTAGAAAATAAGCTCTGATCTGACTTTTTATTTACTGTCATTACTCTCTAAAAGAAATAAAATTTGTTAGTATTATTATATTATATGTGTTTGTGGATACCTTGTATAAAATTGCAAAGATGGCAACAGTAAAATTATGAAGATTAAGTTTCTAAAAGGTGTCAGCACCTAATTTTAAATGTCATTCTAAATTGTTTGAAACAAGCTAAGAAACAAACTACTGCATATTTATTTTTGACAACATAAGATTTGGATACATAAGATTTGGATAGAGAGAGACAGAGAGTAGAGAGAGAGAGAGAATTAATGTCTTGGTTGACAACATTTTACTAACAAATGTGTAGTTCTTACCTGGAAAAAATAAGAATTTTGATTCATGTTAAAAAACTTGAACATTTTTGGATGAGTAAAAGATGAGGTAGGATCCTTCAATGGCCATCCCTGGATACCAGATAACTTGGCTTGTTCTAGCACGGAGGTCAAATTATTCTCAACAAAATAAAACCCATCATCCACCCAGATCACAGCACCATACATGTTCAGCATTTCCTGACAAGGTATCAAATAAAAACATATTGAAAATGAATAAATAGCTGGGGTAGATTTAAAACAGACAAATTTTTAAAGACAAAAGTTACAAAGTTGTTATTCAACCTTAAATGAAATTAGAAAGTGTAAGAGAAAACTATGATAATAAAGTAAATTAGCATATGTGCTAATGAATGATGCTACAGTTTATATGTATTATTTTACAATTTTAAAATAACCAGATATTAAAAGAAATTTATCTTGATTACCTGTATGCAGATAGGTCTATAGCTTCGAATATTCAAGTATTTCAGATGAGAAGGATACTTTTCAAATTTGAACAAACGAGTCTCACAATTCCATGTACTATTGCAATATTGACTAAGCTGAAATGTAAGGGGTTTATGTAGTTAAAATAAAGTTTAAAAAAATGAGTGAACAGAAAATTGTGGAAAAAAAAACAAACAATTATCAGTGCATTTTTTATTTCAGAGAATTCTTAACTAAAATGACACAACAATCATTTCAAAGCAAATGACTTTTGTTTTTTTTTCCGTAAGATGACAACTTGATAACGAAAACCTTCCTACCAGTGACTGTTCAGCTGCTGATAATCCAAAATCATACATAACTGTTTTATACTGAGGCAATAAAGACTGTATTGACTTCATAAGTATAGCTGATTCTTTAAATAAGTCAGGCTTAACCCCACTTGCAATGACAGGGACACCAGTGCTAGTTTTTGGAGTCAGTGGAATTTCCACAGGTGATTCTGTGTTGACATTTTGGTAAACAGGGCCATTATCATTTCTTTTATGAATATTGTCAGTTAATCCTAACTGTCTTAAGTACATCGGATCAACTGTTAACTCTCTTTCTGTAAAGAACAAATAAATCAATTAATTCAAAAAGCTTCCAAATTATATAAAAAAACATAATATATTATGTTGATTACATTTTTGAAAGATCTAAAAATATCAGAATTTGTAAAATATTTAAAAATTGCATTGAAGAATTTAGTTTAAGTTTTAAGATCCATTAAAATTTTAATGTCTAGATATTAATTTAGTAAAAACAGAGATATTAATTTACATTACCTCTTATTTGTATATTGGAGGCTCGCATAATTCCAGACTGTGTTTTGCTTACAATTGTTTGCAAGTTTGGAGATGGTGAAGCAAGAATCCATAATGACACTGTTGAAACAGCCACAAGCACTAAGATCATATAATAGTTCTTAGTCTTCATTGGATCCCAAGGTAAACGTCCAGTCATCTGTTTGTTTTTTCTTGAATAAAAGATATGTTATGACTGAATAGGGAGAAAATTCTTACTTTTTAAAATAAAACTTGCACTTATTATATATTTATAGTTTTAAAACATTTAATTTAAATTAATCAATACATTTCAGAGTCTGTCCAAAATTGATGTATGGCGAGAGGGCCTATAAAGTAAAATTTTAATTTCTGTGTGGCCGTAGTAAATGGATAAATGAACTCTAATAATGTAGCTGTGAAACAGAACAAACCCAAAGTGCCATAATACTCAATAACCCTTTACTGTAATAACAACGTGTTATTTTTTATTCCTATGCATAGAATTTGAGTTATTCTAGTCTTTTAGTCATACGAACTTTTTCTTTTAGTTTTAGTCTCGGAATTGGCAAGCCTGCAGACACTTGCATGCAAATGGAGCCTATTTAGTTTAGAATATTTTAAACGAATAGAATATACATTAATATGCTGAATTTATACATTAATATGATGTTCTTGTAAGTTAGGACAAACAAGGTCATGCTTTCCACCTCCTTCCAGAATAAAATTTACAAATATTATTTATATCTAAAACCAAAATATCTATAAAATGATCTTTGTAGGCAGAGTAATGCCCAAAAAAAAGCTGACTTGTATGCAGACGATTGTAGGAAAAAAAGTCACAGGAAAAAAAAACACAGGAAAAAAAAACACAGAAAAAAAGTCACAGGAAAAAAAGTCACAGGAAAAAAAGTCACAGGAAAAAAAGTCACAAATATATATTTGCATGATATTTGTTAATACTTTGTTAATACTTTTACGTATTAAATATTTAGAGAGTGCAAATTAACTTAGGATTAATTAAATGTAATGTAATGTATGTAGGCTGTATACGCATAGGAATTTTTATAATTCATCTAAAAATATTTATTATGAAGTATGTAGATTGTAATTATTTTAAACTTAAGATTAGTAGCATTTAATAGAATGCTCCAAAGTCCACGGTTTTCATCGTGTTTTTTTTTAAATACCAATATTAAATTACCGTGAAATGGTAAATTCATCTGACTTGCTGCCCTCAACTCATGGCAACAATAGTTATGTTTAGTTCAACCACCTTTACTGCCCACATTTATCACGCTCATTACATAACAAAACTTAGGATCAAAACAGAAAGCCGACAAGGTTCAAAGGCTGTCATTGACGCGTAACGTCAACAACACAAAATATGTTCGGACAAGGCCTACTGAGGAGAGGCCAACCAGAGAACAGCCTACGGCAAAATTTGCCTAAATTTCTTTTATAATTAACTTTTCTACCGCGTATTTAAATAAATACGTAACAAGTTAAGATTGTTGTGTAAATTATCTTAGAGTAAGTATTTAAATAAATACGTAACAAGTTAAGATTGTTGTGTAAATTATCTTAGAGTATTTTTACTTACAATTGTTATAAATCATAATGCTTTTAACGTCTATAAATAATTTATGCTATCCAAAAATAAAACCCACAACAATAAACATACAAAATTTACAATTCTTAACAAATTAATAAAAATATTTCTAAAAAGATTTTTGTGACTTTTTTTCTGTGACTTTATTTCTGTGACTTTTTTTCCGATAAAATTTTTCCACTGTGACTTTTTTTCTGTGACTTTTTTTCCTAGCAAAAACTGTGACTTTTTTTCTGTGTTTTTTTTTCCTGTGACTTTTTTTCCGTTTACCATGCAGACACCCCTTTTTTCTTGTTTAAGTTAGAAAACAACATTAACCTTGAATGAAATTTGCAGGGTAGTGTAAAGGAGAAAGGTGAGTACCACGCAACTTTAAAAAAAAATTATAATTAAATTTCCTGAAAACGAAATCAAAAGGTCTTGACTTGGAAGTGTTTATAAATGAACATATGACCAGCCAAATGCTGGAGTTTTACAAAAAAGGTCTAAATAAAATAGTTACAAGCAAAAAAAAAAATTCCAGTTTTTGTAACAATGCTGAATATATTCGGAGTTGCTCTTGTTTCATAAACTATTTATTTAGTTATTAATGCTTTATATTATTTTCAAATGAGATAATAACATGTAACATAATATTTCTCCAATCTTTTCTTACACATTCTTACATTTTAGGCCTATTATATTTTAATTTAAAAAAAGAGCATACAATGGTGGCTTTGGGGCGGCAAAGCAGAAGAGCATGCGACTCCTAACCAGCAAGTCTCAAGTTTATTCTTACACTTTAAAGTTAATTTAGATACACCAAAAGTAATCTAAGATAATTCTTATAAATCATTGAAAATTGATAGTTATGCCTATAGTCACTAGGTATAAATACTGTGGTAACAGTCAGAATGCAAATGATTACTTTACTGATCTAATTTTAGACGTAGTTTTTTATAATCCGGTTGTCCACTAATCAGGTCTTGACTTTAATATCAGAAAACACCATAGTTGTTAAGATATGTTGGCTCATATGGTGTTGATGCAGTTGTTTTTAGTGAAGCCAGCTACCTAAAACATAAATAAATAAAGTATAAGTTATCTATAAGCCTAGGCCTATGAGTACACCATTCATAGAATAGTATGACTATTCACAGTTCGCTTTTATTAAATCTATATATATATATATAGAAATGAAAGTATGTTTACGCATTACTTAATTTACTACAACTTACATCTGATCGGCATGAAACTTTGGTGAGTTAGTGAGAATACTCCAGGGGAGATTTCTGCTGAAACAAATTTTCAATTTTGCAGGGACAGCAAACAGTGCAATATGCTCTGGATAAAATGGGGTATTATAGTTGTTCACTACATTGAATCAGGCACATCCGCCGAAACCCTATGCTATCCTGTGAGCAGTATGTTCTTTTTTGACAATATTGACACGGTGGCACAAGACGTTTGATAATTAAACTAAGCCAGGGACTCTTACCTCCACCAAGCCTACCAATCTGAAGGGGGTAGTAATTTTAAGTCTAGAATCAGTGGGTGTTAGTAAATTGTGAGATGTGAAAAGCTAAATGGAACGCCAAAGCCGCCGGATATATTGCCTTTTATTCTTTGTACATCAATAGGCTTGTAGCCGCTGCACATATGTTGTATTGTTGCAAAGAAATTTTGTATTGTTATCGCCGCCTACAATTTTTTTTTCATATAAATATCAATTGTGTTGATTTTTAAAATATGATTAGGCCTATTATTTACTTAATAAAAAATTAAAATATTTTAAGTTTATTTCTTTCTATAAGATTTTAGGTCCCTATAATTTTATACTTTCTACAAGTTCAAGTAGGCTTACAATCAACAGCATTACATTGAAAGTGTTAATGATTGGAAGGTACTAGCCTTGCATTTGGCTAAGAAAGTGGCTGAATATTTCTATCTCTGACAAGATCATATGAACTCTCAATGAACCCAAGCACGACTATAACACCTCATCTTATCCATAGTCAATCACTCTGTTGTAACAAACATAGGCGCCATTGTGATTCTCATCAACTCCCCAAAGTTTCATGGCAATCAGTTGAACTGTGTCAAACCACAATTGACTTTCATTTTTATATACCGTATATAGAGACGCCAACCCTGTGAATTTGATTTTTTTTTCAGCAGAAACCTTCTCCTCAACAACATCCCACAGTTCAATGCCGATCGAATGAAAGATGTAACAATGCATAAAAAAAAGGCAAACAAATAGACATACATTGCTTCATATATATAGCCTATATAATACTATAGGCCTATATATATATATATATATATATATATATATATATATATATATATATATATATATATATATATATATATATAGGGCCTATAGGCCTATATAATAATATAGATCTCTAGAATCTAGATTTTATAAATTTATAATAGGCTAGGCCTAGGCCTATAAAATATTAATTAGGCCTAATAAGTAATAATAGATCTACTATATGCACTAACTCGGTTAACTGTCACCAATCAAACGGCGATATTTTTCTCGCGCAGACAAGAAAACATCACTGTCGTGAGCGGTCGATCAAAATTACAATATACTTCAATATTAAACTGAATATTATAGGCCCCATTATAGGGCCTATGAAATTTTTTTTTATAGTCACAGCACAGAGTCACAGTGTAAAATGTAAAAAGTGTATTATCAAGAATCTAGCTAGAGAATCTAGATCTAGATCTAGAATCTAGATCTAGACTATATTAAGTTCCGTTAACAGATTAACATTTCTAGATCGGCTAGCCGCTTTACTCTTTCTAGATTTAGGTTCTAGAATCTACTCAATCTAGATCTAGTCTTTCTTAATCTTTAGTAATAAATTAGTAATCTTTATTCTTTCCATCTAGAATCTAGATTCTAGATCTAGATTTCTAGATCTAGATTAGCTAGAGTAGTTCTAGAGAGTAGGGCCAATCTAAACTAAATGTAAAATCTATTCTTCTAATCTATATAATTATAACCACTACCAGTAACCTACTTCAATACTCATGTAAAGTTTGTTTGCCTTGTAGAGATCTAATAATAAATACTAGATCTAGATCTAGATCTATTGATCTATTATGTATGTAGATCTATATAGAGACTATAGATCTAGAGATGTAGAGAAACATTAGCCGTCGCTCCCTTCTTGCGCATGACTCAATAAATTGTTCCGTATGCCAAAAAAAAAAAAAAAAAAAAAGCAACGTTTCTTTGACCATATAGCGCTGAGCGTTGTGCTAGAGTGCCAGATGAGTCAAAATAAACTATCACGCAAAACTGCCTAGACTAGGTTCGGGAGTTGTTTTTTACTAATAAAGAGTCAATAAAGACAGTGGTGCATCGGTTAGGCCCAGGCTTAACGCTTGGATGAACAAAAGTTTCAAATAGCATATGCATTGTTGCCTTTAAAAACTGCCATTTCGAATCTTACGGTCCATGGGGCAGGTTCATCAGCATACAGAGGACTCAGGGGCGTCTTGCCGTCTTACATACTCGAGCCCGAGTTTTGTGAAAAAATTTTTCGAGGGGGGGGGGGGGTCATTGTAGATTCCATTAAAAATTAAGGAACGTAAAACTGTTGTTTTATGACATTAAAAGTGTTGAAATCGTAAATATAGAACGATACCAATAAACTTTCATCAAGCAGTAAATGAAATTCAGGGTCGACTGGGCGTGAGTCTAATACACCATGCCTTCACCAGTATTCTTATCATCTTTAATTGTTAATGGAAGACTGCTGTTTTTTTTTTCATGTAATTTGCTTTTGATTTCGCTTTCTTACGGATTTTTAAAAATAAAACGTTTTCGAAAATAAACAACAATACAAAAACCAAAAAAAAAAACAAACAAGAAAATAAAACAAAAAACAGGATAAATAATTAAATTAAAAAAAAAAAACACAAAAAAAAAAACCTTTCAAAAGAACGTCTATTTGGACTTTAACTTTTAAAATCCTGGCAGTATTCCGGTGTTCTCTAAACGAAAATACAAAATTTGTTTCAGCTAGTCTAGATCTAGATATCTAGAATTCTAGATAATTAAACTATTTATCTATCTAGAGTAAAGTTCCACGCGCGGTTAAAACACCGGTGCGATCATCGCCTGTTTATCGCTTCGTACAATATTTGTTTTGATGTTTTATACGAAACTACCGATATCTGCTGTAAACCTGTCCATTTCTAAATATATCCAGGTCAAATTCTTTTGTTTTTCTCCTTCTGGAAGTCGAGTTTTTAAATTTTAAAGTTTCGAGGTATGATGTCGTAGGCGGTTCTAGTTCCCCCTATGAAAAACACTAGGTCCCGGATGAGATGAATAAAACCAACCAATCAAAGCTTTTTATAACTAGGTTAACTATAAATAGCTTCTACAATATATGCGGGACACTGTACATACGATAGATAAGGCTAATAAAGCAACCTGATAGGTAAATAGGGGTGGCCGCAGCTTGGGTGTCGATTACGGTGGTTTCACATCGCTGCGTAACCAACGACTTGAGCTAGACTAGCCTAGTTCTAGATGCTCTATATTTCAAACTAAGCCTAGAATCTGTATACTTTCTATTTTTTTCTGCTGTTTTAAATTATTTCGATCATCTACTTCTTCTAAATCTAGTTTGTGTCTCTACATACAAGCATATCTAAGCAAATGTTACGTTATGTCTTTTAGTGGTTGTTACGTCCCTTTGTTATGATTATTATAGTTGCGTCCCTTGAGTCATCACTGGTCAACTTTTAATGTCTTTAATTAATTTAATTAACATGTTTTTAATTATTATTTTTGCAATCTATTAATTAATAATACAATCAACAACACGTTTAAGTGTGTAAAATATTTATTTCAATTATTAAAATTGGATCAAAACGTATACAATACGCTCGTTGGCAAGCAGGTTCTTGCGTACGCAGGCAAAAAAAAAAGGGAAAAAAAATATCGCAAGGAGGGACGTCACTAAAACATGAATATCTTAAATACTATGCGTAGGAATACAAAATGACTCATACATATTACAGTAGAATGGCAGCGGAGTAATACAGTGCTTTCGGTTTGTTTCTGTGTGAAACGGTTATAAAATAGCGCCCGATGAAAATCGGGAATTTGGAATTTTCCGCTATGTGTGACCGCGCGTGGAACTTTACTCTAGATCTAGATTTATAAACTTAATCTAAACTAGCATCTAGAGCCTAGGTCTAGTTCTAGACTACTTGTCGAAATAATTGACCTGAGAGAAAAGTTTTACCCATTCTAGATCTAACTCTAGAGTAGACATCTAGATTCTAGATCTAGAAATCTAGTAAAATCAAGTAAAATGCCCGTAAATAAAAATTCCCATAATTCTAGTGGTATATTTGGTACTCCTGCAGAACCTTTGTTTAACAATGACGAAAATGGAAGTAGTGCAGAAATCTTACAAGATTGGTTATTAAACATGGCAGTTGTGAATACAAAAGAAATCAAGACATCATCTAGTATTCAGGTTGCTAGACTTAGAATTTAGATTAGATCTAGAGAATCTAGAATTCTTGATGTATCTGATCTAGATTATTCTAACATCTAGATTGAAGGTTCCATCTAGAATCTACATTCTAGATAGATGATTATTCTAGATCGACTAATTTTATAATAGTATTTTTGGTACGTAAAATCGCCCACGACTAGTAATGTGAAAAAGAGTTGACTCCTTAAATTTTATTATTTCACAGTTTGAGGAGGATTTATGTTTTGAAAAATACAAAAATGTTTCATTTATGTAGATCTACCTGTTTTCAAACAATTGAATTAAAACTTTTCAGTAATAAATGAAGACATAGTGATGTTTCCAACAGATGCAACCATGCTCATTTACTATAGCAGCCATCTTCAAGCGCAAGATTCAGGGGGAAGTCACTCTATTTTACAAATGGTAGTATTATAGCAAATCTTGCTTGCAGAGACTGCTGTTTAAAGTTAATTTCTGGCCTATATTGATATATTTAGCCATTGATTTAGGTTTATTAGTCATTTATCTATAATATTTGACACAAATATATCACAATATTCAATATACTTCTATTAAAGCCTTGACAATGAGGTAAATTTTTCGTACATTACTAGCCGCTGGCAATTTTACTTACCTAAATGGCTAAAACTTTGATTACCTTATTTTTCTATACTACTAAACTACCACTATAGCTAGATCTAGTACTTAAACTTTATTTATATATTTACTTTAAACTAAACTTACTACTAACTAAATTACTAAAAAAGACAACAGTTACAGTAATCTCCCAGTCTGAGTATGGCCTCGGTTATTATTCGGAGTCACCTGCCTCAATGGCGCTTATTGAAACAGTTGACATATACTTAATTGTGTTGGAGGGAATCCCTTCCAACACTAAAATTAAGAACAAAGAAGAAGAATATATCTAATATTTAGGTAATCTATCGTTTTAGGTACGTAAAATCGGCCGCAACTAGTAATGTGAAAAACAGGTGACTCCTTACATTTTAATAATTATTTCACATTTTGATGAGGATTTATGTTTTGAAAAATACAAAAATGTTTCCTTGTTTCATTTATGTACCTGTTTTTAAACAATTGAATTAAAACTTTTCAGTAATAAATGAACACCAGCGATGTTTCCAACAGATGCAACCACGCTCATTTACTATAGCAGCCATCTTGTTTAAGTTTTATTTTTATAGACATATAACGCGAGATTCAGGCGGAAGTCACTCTATTTTACAAATGGCTGCTGTTTATATAGCAAATCTTGCTTGCAGACACAGCTGTTTAAAGTTAATTTCTGGCCTATATTGATATATTTAGCCATTGATTTAGGTTTATTATTCATTTATCTATAATATTTGACACAACATATCACAATATACTTCTATTACAGCCTTGACAATGAGGTAACGTTTTCGTACATTAATAGCCGCGGGCGATTTTACGTACCCAAAACGATAGATTACCAATATTTATTCCTGTTTCCTTATGTCTATTAAAGTCAAATTTAAGTTAAAACATTAATTTAGTACAATATTTAGTATTTATATCTCATCAGTCAAATAAACCATGGTTTTCAGTACCTATGTTTATAAAACTCAATAAACATTACTGGATAGTATCCAGCATTTTACTGGGTGATTACCTAGAATACCACTGAAAACTATTTTATAAAACCAGCTATTCCTTCCCATGCACTGCCACTGGCTGATGCAATACTTTAAAAAGATTACATCTATGTGTAATTTTAGACGCATGACCTTTTTTTTCTAAAACTGAGTTATTTAAGTATAAATAAAGATGGCGCTTTATTTCTTGGATCTAAGTTGTTATGGAGCTGGTTTGTCCACGCTACCTCTCAGCTCCCCCATTGCGTGCTGTCATGCATGTCAAAAGGCGCATAGGGGAGCCTCGATAATATTAATGCAGGGGCGTCGTGTACAGCTCCTGGTTCAGCTTAATCATTGAATGGCATGTGCCCTATCATATTGTGCTGTTCAAAATAAATGTAAGCGCCATGGAAACTTCCCAAGTGTATTTTTTTTCCAAAGCTTCATGCGATTGGATGAAAGTTGTAGTAATGCATTAAGTATTTTAAAAAAGCCCACATGCTTTTATTTTTACTTTCGCATATAGAGAAAGTATTCCAATTGTGCAAAAAAAAATTAATCGCGATTTTTACAGATCTCAACGTTTTACAGGTCCCTAGTTGGAAGAACATGTTTTGCAATTTTGTCCATATGTATGAGTGTGTGTGTATGTCTGTGAACACAATAACTTGAGTACCGTTAAAAACTTAAGTACCATTACATTATTATATGAAACTAGTCAACCTGCGGTGTAGCATCCGTTGCTATTTAGTGACCGAAGACTTCCTGATAGACACAGTTTTCCAAATAGGGTGGGTTTGGGCAAACTAGTGAGTGAATGAAAAGGAACTCTGAAGGTAGCAATATACAATTGTCCTTGAGTGAAAACAGGTTTTGGAAGATACGTTTGGCCCTGTGCTTTATTGTCATGGCAAAGGCTTATCTAACAGGGAATTGTCTGCGTGTAAAGGTAAAAGGCAAATTTGAATCTGATGGAGTCAGGATTAGCCGGGGAATAAGGACAGTTTGTGAGGTAGCAGCTGCGATAGTTTTACACTCCAGTACGTGTTGTGAATGCTGATAACAGTCAGTCTAGTGCCATTACAGATACCTCATGCTGGCATGAGGTTTATAAGAAGCATGACGACTAAACTAATTTTAATTTTGAGTTTATGCCGCTATTTAGTTTTTTTATTTTCTACTTTTCAGTAATTCATTTTTAAAAAAAATTCAACACTACCAATGCTGCGGCTGAAAATATTTTGCTTTAAAACACTATCAGTAGCTCGTTAAGGATGATTATCCTCAATCTCCCCCACCCCTAGTGAAAACAGCCGTCCGTGACGACAGGTTACAGACGACAATGAAAAGATCATGCATAACTTATAATTACCTCCCGTTAGTTTCAAATTGTTTAAAAACTAATAGCCGTCACTTCTATTGTAAACATTCGGGGTCAACCACAGCCCACCTGACCGGTGGGAATGGGGGTGATAGCGATATGCCTGGAAAGCGTGGTAGGAACGGCTATGCTGCTTGGTGTCTTGTATGGTCCCCATGAAGAGAATTATATATATAGATTTGTAGTTCTGTATCTACTTTTTAGCGATTTCTGGTAACAGGAAGTGGAACTTATGCTACTTTTGGATTTTCAAAGCCCATAACTTGAGTATTGTTTCAGATAGATAAACGAAATTTCAAACTATTCTGCACTATTAGACACGAGTCATCACATTCATTAGGTGTGCAGTGGTTTTTAGGGTGACAGGACAAATGATCTCAGACAAATGATCTCAAGGACAAATGATCTCACGAAATTGAATTCTCCTTCGTGCGCTAAAAAAAGACAAATAATAATCTGCGGGAATTCCTGTTCCTGAATAAAGATGTCTTTTGTTATTTCAACTTTGATTAAAAATAATAAGAAAACTGTACAATCAGTGTATAAAATAAATAAAAGGCAGTATTTAAAATACCTACCACATTTCACTTGATCGATCCACGCTAATTGTGTAATTTTTTTTCCCAACACCAAAACAAAGTAATAAAAGGTACATTTATTCCTCCCGATGTTCAGGTTTTAATAAAGGGAAGCAATTGTGTCTTCCTAATTCATCAAGGGACGTAAGGAGTGCTAAAGGACTAAATCTAAATAATTAGTTTTGGTGAAAGGTGATACATTTCTAAAAATTGTGTTTGATGTTCATGCCAACAATTATCTCCATAAGTTTGAAAAATGAATATTATTTTACAACACCTTCAATATTAATTTTTTAAATCATGAATTTAGGTGATGAGCTCTTTAGACTTTGGAATTCTTGGTCTGTCCGCCCGCCACACACAGAATTAAACTTTATATTTTAGATTACATAAAAACTTGTTATTAAAACGTTTTTTATGAATTTTGATTTTGAAAAGTTTAAGTAATTAAAAAAATGGATTTAAAAAATCATGTCTATATCCGGAGTTGCCACCCCCCCCCCCCCCCACAGTGTTATATAAGAATATTTGAGAAAGCTTAGGGGAGATCACTCCTAGTTTATTATATTTATAGTTTATTAAATATGAGTTATTGACTACCCAATTTAATTGTAGTTATTAGTAGTCCTCTAATCTAGATTTTACCTAGATCTATAATAATTCAAATTAAAATTTGGCCTAAATAAAACATTTAATCACTGACTCACTGTCGTTTTATTTGGCTCACAGATAAGAGAGTTTCTGAGCCATAATAAGACCATGTGAATTGTCTCAGTTATTATAAAAATATGTATTCTATATAATAGAATATAATAACTTTTAACTGGATTCTAGAAAGAATAAAATGTTTTTTTATTCAATAATGAAAAATGATGAGAACTGAAGTAAAAAAAATATCTGGACTTGTTTCTTTCTAATTTTATAAAAAAGGGGCAAACAAATTTTAGATTACATGGCTCCATGATTTTCTCACAAAAACAAAACATAACAAAGAATATTCACTGCAAATCAATGTGACTTCTGCTGTTAACTTTCATATACCAGTTCAGAATTGTGAGGCTTCACCCTGTATTTTCCATCTCCATGCAACTTAAGGATGTGTTCTCTTCATTTTGCCAAAACTAGACTAGAATTGCTCATCTTGGTATATCAATATCATGCAGTTAAGATGCTAACTCCCACCAAGCTCTGTTATACTTATTGAATCCATATTGTATATATTCTTCTGACCACTTTATGTTTTTGCACAACTTAGTATAATAGGATTAAAATACTAAGAAAGAAATCACATAACGTACCATCATGAGTCATAAGTCATAAGTTGACTACTAGGTCACTATATGGAAAAAAGTATGTTCATGATCAACGCTCGGCTGTATAGGTGCCATTTTTGTGATACACGTGTCGTGGCGTTGCTGGTTCCACAATGTAGAAATACCATGATTCACATATGTTATCTCACTTTTGCGCACTTCAATACTATGCTGTGCAGTTGTATTTGAACTGTCATCTGCTGCAGACGTTAGTTCTTTTGTCCACACTGACAAAATCCAATCACAAGTAATACAAGTCAGGTGTGTGTCTTGACATCTGCCGAACCCCTGGGGTTCGACTGAACCTTAGTTAAGAACTACTGCATTAAAATAATGAGATTTCACAAGTCTAGCAGTCTATTGATTCTCGTGGTGAAAACCCCTCTCATCTCATTGCTAAGATTTAATTACACTTCAACCCAGAAATAGACTTGTAATTAATTATTAGATATAGATTTGAAGTAATCAAAACAGTGGTTTGCCATTTTTGTAGTTTAAATATTTTTACTTTTAGGAGGCCCACTTTAGCATAAAATAAAAGTAAACATTGCTTGTCTTGCTAAAACTTTTTACCAGCATTTTTTTAGATCACAATTATCCGGTGGTTAACAATTTTGATCCATTTCTAGTGTAGTGACTTTAAACTTTTAAAGTGTAAGTCTGATAACATCACAAGAATATCTCACTCCCAACTTTATCAGGCATTAGTTTAAAGATAACTATTCAGTTAAAAAGTGGTAGGGATCGGATACTAATGAGGGCCAGAAGTACTCAGTGATTTAATATGTAGAAAGCTTCTTATCCTAGTAGAGTATTGACTTAATTAATCTTTACTAGTTGAAAGTAAATATCCATCCTTTTTTAGCCTTAAATAAATGCCCTTGGCATTATCTTCTCTAGTGCGTTTTGATATATGCCTCATCTACCCAGCATACAAGGACACAAAATGTGCTTTTGCATTAGATTTAAATATTATGTGTATGAGTTGTTAAAAAAAAGTCAGTACATATATATATTTATATTGTGGGTGGAAAGCACCTAGTGACTTCTATTTTTAGCTAGCTTATGTCATTATTATTTATAATCAATCCAAGGATGTAGCATCAAGTTTTTGGTGATTGTTTTTCTGAACACAATTTTATATTGACATATTTTATCATTTAGAATATCTTTACCCACGGCAGTTGGTCTGAATGTGTCTTCCTAATGTGTGATAGATTTGAACTACCCTGTCAAGCTAAATATGCTGCTCTGGAAATATTTGATAGGTATTTAATATTTTAAATATTGTTCTAAATTTATTTTATGTAATCATTTAGAAATATAATATAATTATTTTACTAGATGTTTCACCAATTGAGGAGAAATACCATGCATACACAATGTATATATATATATATATATATATATATATATATATATATATATATATATATATATATATATATATATATATATATATATATATGATATGTGAATATATGCTTTATACAGGCACTAAAGTGTTTTTTTGTGGTTTTAGCCAGCAATGTTTTTTAAATTATTCTGTAGCGTCAATTTTATTTTCAGGTTTATGTTGAAACATATTCAAGACTTATATGAGCATGTTCAGAATACTAAAAGCACAAAGAAAAAATGTGATTGGGAGTGCATTTTAGAACGAGTAAAAAACCAAGCTTTTTTACGTATCTTGTCATGCTGTCAAATAGCTAGTAAACTGAGCTCACACTATAAGGTACTGTAAATTTCCTTGTCATATGTTGCTCTTAGATTTTATGCTACCAAGAATTAAATATAATTCTATTTATAATATAACATACATTAGTTTGTAATATTTAATATAATGAATAGCCGAAATAGCATGTAAATTCTGATTATCAAGATATAAAACAGGTCTTGCTAAAAATATAAACGAAAATAGTACTAAATGAATAATACAGGAAACAATCAGAGATCATTTATGCTGGCTTTTTAGGACTTAATTATTCAAGTAATATGGGATTTTTATTTTATTAGGTTCAAGTAACATATTGATTTTCATTCTTTACATGTAGGTGATCACTGTTAAGAGAGCAAAGCGCTGTCTTTTAGATGCTGGCTACAGCTATTCTTGTGAAAGTATATTACAGTCAGAAATGAGAGTTCTTAAAACTTTATCTTTTAATGTCTCAAGAACTAGCTGTCTTGACTTTATAGAAATACTGCTAGAAATACTAGGTAAGTATTTTCTCAGGATAGATTATTAATATCCAGGAATCATTAGCCTTGTTGACAAAATGTTTCTTATAGGCATTTTAAGTTATGTTAATGTTAAGTATTGTATTATCCATACAGACTTCTATACTAATATGTTGGTTATATTATAGAACTGATCTAATCACTCAAAATCATTGTTTTTAGAAAATTTAAAGCTGTTGATAAATAGTCTTAAATCCACATTTAATATGCCAGTTGTTAATTCAAACAAAATCTAACAAGGAACATCGAACATATTTGTTAATTACTTGGAAGTTTATTTGTTTCACACAGAAAAATTAAGAGATGTAACTTCAGATCTAGATCTAATTAGTGATATAGCCTCTTTACTATGACCTAGTCAGTCTGTAAGTTATTTATAGATGTAAGCCCTGCTAGGGGGGATAACTATTCTATCTACCCTTCCCTAGGCTTAACTAATAACTGTCCGGTCAGTGCAACCGTGGTGAAAGCCACGGTCAGGGGCGGAACTACAGTGCCGCCAGACCACAGGGGGGGGGGCACAGCCGACCATACTTATTTTTAACGCAATTTCCATTCTGGAGAATTGCGTTTATTAACCCGTCATTTCTGGATGGATGGATGGATGTCCGCAGCTTTAAGTCGTATCTCCTCCTCAACGAAGCAATATCGAGGACTAGTTCCAAAAGCAAAAATGTTAAGCAAGTTCCAAGGATGATTGTGGGCCAAAAACATTCCCGGAATTCCTATCTGGATTTCCTGGAAAAGCAAAAAAACCTCGAACAAATGCAGTTTTTGCTCCATATCTCGGCAACCAGACTACTTAGCGACTTGAAACATTTACCAATCTATTCCTGCCATAATTTAGACCAATATTGCCGAAGAAAGTTTTCAAAAATATCCTTTCGTTCGGTCACAAAAAATTAATTAAGAACATTTAAACTGAGCGTCGTGTAGATTTTTAGCGCAAAGCTGAGGTTTGAAAGGATTTTACCATAGCGGATGAGCGGAGGTTTGAAAGGATTTTTTATTCCCACTGATACGGGAGGCTAGCCTATCGCGACGTGGGATCGTTCGCGTCACTGCGCGCGGCAAGAGAGAGAGAGAGAGGCGAGCTACGCGTCACTCGTTTTTTTCCACGTGATTTAAAATTGTTATGGATAACATACGGAAATTGCGCTTAAATTGTCACTAGACTTTTTAATAACTTGTTTTTTTATATTTAATTTTTTTTAAATTCTATAGACACCATCCCACGCTCTTGTATATTCTTTTTCCCTTTGTTTGTAAACCACTGTAAAAGCAGAGTCCATTTTCTCCTAAAATCAAACTTATCAAAGAGATAAGCAAACGTTCAAACCACTTCCATGACTTATTTCCCTTTTTTTAAATAGTCAAATTGGGGTGCTCATAAGCACCTTTTAATAGATTTGTACTAAACAAATTAAAAAGCAATTACTTATCTTGTTATTTTTTTAATAAAGTACTTACTAAAGTATGACATTGTATAAAAGGAAATGTATTTAAAATTAATAATATAAATACAAAAAAACATAAAAATAAACATAACATGAGACACCATTACTTATATAAAGCTTTCATGGTTTATATTCTTTTGACCGTCTTTAGATTAAGAGTTCTTATAGCAGAGATAAAATAAAACTGATTTTCACAAAACAGACTAATGCACTTACACCCATGACATGATGTTGCAATTTGTTTTAATTAAAAAAAAAACATATTTTTTTTAAAACCCGAACAGGCTAGCAATGAGTGTGTGTATATATATATATATATATATATATATATATATATATATATATATATATATATATATATATATATATACTAGCCGTCCCTGCCAGGCCCTGCTCTGGCTTCTGTGAAAAACCTTTCTGTTAAAGTTAAAGACCATTACCTGTGTGTTTAGTAATCATCATAAACCCGGCATTGCCCACCCAAACCACAACCAACCAAAACAACAAAACGCAAACATAACGCTAACACAATTACAAATACAAACGAAAACAAAAACCTAACAACAAACCCAACCACAATCACAAAACACCATACGAACACAAATGAAAACAAACCAAATCTAAACGCAAAACCAACCACAAACACAAACCCAAAGAAAAAAACAAACGAAAAAGCAAACGAAAACAAACCAAATCCAAACGCAAAACCAACCACAAACACAAACACAAACCCAAAGAAAAAAACACAAACGTAAACGAAAAAAGCTTAATAATCGACTATAGTACCCTAACTTATTCATAGTCTTTTTGCACTCACCTAAACGAACGTAGGTGCCAAACCAAACCAAATGAACAATTATAATACTCCAAGCTTATTCGTAAAATACCTACAACATTTGCACTTGATCAATCCCCGCTAATTATGTAATTATTTTTTTCCCAACACCAAAACAAAGTAATAAAAAGTAAATTCTTTTCCACTAATGCAATGTTTTATAAAGGGAAGTTATTGTGTTTTCCTAATTTATCAAAGGGGGGGGGGGGGGCTAAAATATTTTTTTGTGGTGTGGCCCTTTTTTTCTAGTTCTTAACCTTAGTCTAAGGAACTACTAAAAAATAAAACAATATTTAACAATTTATGACATTTATTTTACAAGAAAATCGGAACCAACAATTTAAATAAAAAAAGAATGGATCTGGATAAACTACCTATACAAAACAGAACTTAACAGAACAAAACACGACTAAACAAAACACCCAATTTTGGAATACCATCCATACACCACAGAAACACATCAACACACAGGCCTCGACATTCCCACAGAATGTCCCTCCCTGTCCACACACTACATTTAAGAACTAAAAACCAATACTACGCACAAGAAAATAGTCCCTAATACAACAATAACTAACATTCACGACATAAAGCAAAGTGGAACCACACACCAAAAAAAAGTTTGCATAAGTAATATCAAAGTATAAACAAGACAAAGCAACTATAAACCATTTGAAAATCATAATCATATCAGCGCCAGAATAGCAGACTACTTAACTAAAAACCACAACAATCCTCAAAGGACATTCACCTTTTGTAATAAAATAATTAAATAATTCCCCAGCCCCTTACATAGACAAGGCATTGTACAATTGAAAATAACAATAGAAAAAGAGAATTATAATTGTTGTTTGTCTCCAGAAAATTAGTAAGTACTAAAACTGGTTTAAACCAGTTAATTTAGTTAAACCTAACTTTTTTTTTCATTTCTGGAAATCATGAACGTAACAATAGCATGTTTGTACTCTTTTCTTTGTAGGACACAACACAAGTGGGGAAAAGTTTGATGTGAAAGTGTATCATGAAACTGCAGTCAAAATTCTGACCATTATATGCTTACATAGACACAATATTTATGACAGATTATATTTGACAACTGCTGGTGTAGCTGCTGGTGTTTTGGCCTCTTCTGAAGAGCAAAAGTAAGTTACCTGTGATTGCAAACTATTTTCAAAAGTGAAATGCCCTATAAAAGGATTTATTTATTTATTTATTTATTATATATATTTAAAAATTCATATCCTTTTACTGAGTGCTTGTATGATGTATACAGTAAAATAGTTTTAGAAGGATTATACTTTTCATTTTAGCTAATGATTTGAAATAGAACATTTACTTATGTCCCATCACGTCTCTTTTATTTTGAGAATGAATTGAAATCATTTTTTTTTGCATTTTAGTATTACATAACTTAAGAATGCATGACTATGAGATTCAACAACATAATTTGCCTTAGTTTTCTTTATTGAAAGCAGCCCAAAATGCATTGATTCACCACATGTGCATCATGCTTTTCTAGTTCTATTGAGTTGTTTTATTTTACTCTTTTTCTTACAGTACTAAATTAGCTGCAGTTAAAACTGATAAAATGCTTTTATCAGCTGCTGTTGTAGCAACCGCTGTAAATATGAATGACAGTTCATTGACACAGGAGGTAAATAGTTTAATTATTCAGATCTCTTATTTCTCTTTCAAAACAAAAATAAACTGAAATAGTAATAATAATTCCCAAATACTGCTAAGTTACCCCAATTATTAACATTTTAATTTACCCGTCTTGGAGTTTATGATGCGTTTAAGTTTAATCCATAGAGAATAAATAGGAGGTATATGCAAAAAAAAGGATATTAAGCATTGCTTAGTTATCTTGTATGATGTTTTTATAACACATATTTATCACATATGCATGGCTTAATTGTCCATTAATGAACTCACTCATTAGGGGTAGGGCAGGGTTTCTTTCAAACATTTTGCTCCCGGGGGGGGGGGGGACGGGGGGGACGGACGACTGGTTGAAATAATAAATTAAAAAAATTTTTTTTTATCATCCATTGGGTTGTTGTGGTGGATGTGATGTCTTCTACTTCACTCTCCCATAATATATTCTTGGAAATGTGACACTCATCATTCCTAACATGGGGAGGGGGAGGGTTTATGTTATGATAGGATATGAGGGGAGAGGTTTTGGCTGCAGTAGTCTGAGGATATGAGGGGAGGGGTTTTGGCTGCAGTAGTCTGATTTGTAATGATTACCAATTTATGGTTTAAATTCTTCAAATAATACCCTTCCAACTTGGTCTGATAATTACCTGGCTCTTGTTAGGGAAAAAAAAGGTAGTTGGGCTGACCCTACTGACCACATTATCCCTTTATGTGCTTAGGTCATTGAAACAGATGAATTCTACTTCATGTGCTCCTTGTGTCATGGGTACTAAAGGGAACAGATCACAGGGGTGCCACTCATCTTTTAAGTGAATCCTGAAAACCATTCCCAAAATTTTACCAATCCTGAAACTAAAATTTGAAATTTTTAAAACCCTGAAACTTAATTCCGCACAGAATTTCAAAATATAATGGACTATCATTTAATTTTTTTTGAGGCATTTGATTCATATCATTTTCAATATAGGCCTACATTCCTTTAACATAGATTTATTTTCTTTATAACAAGCTTCAAATAAAAATTAAGATTTAAAGGATTGTGCATACAACAAAATTAGTTTACAATGTTAGTCCCATCTCTAGGCTTACCCCATAATGTGTTACTCTAGAACTCCCCCCCCCCCCCCATGCGTGTAAGCCACTATAGAAAACAACTGTTTATGTGACTAATACTTTGTTTATAGTGACAGTAGTCACACTTTGTCTTCTGTTGGTAATACAGAAAAGTGTAGGAATATCTAAGAATTATTTGAGTAGGCCTGAACTTCTACAAGTGGTAGGCCTACTATACAATGAGATCATAACAATTTACATGAAGGTTAAAGTGGGGTCTCCAAAACATCACATATGTGGGTCCTTAGGTGGGGAAGGAGGAGGATTCAGGCTCATGTTGATGTACACACATAAAATTTAACATCAAAATATTTTACTACAAACAAAAAGTATTATGAAATTCTGCTTTTAATATTTTATGATATTTCCAATCTTATTGAGAATTGGTAGTTAGTATTAAAATTTTTGTTCGAATTGGGGGAGGGTGATCTAGTATTCCTATCTAAAACTAAAAGAAATCTAGACCCCGATTGGAGATACTTTTCCATCATATTTCTGCAATAATGGCTTATGTTTGGAAGCTGCATCATCTTCTTAATATTTGCTCGTTATCTGCATTGTAACCTCAGAAACCTAGGCCATAAAATGCATGGCAGAATTTAGAAGACATGAGCACCCAATCTCTTTGATTTTTAGCAACCAAGGCTTTTACTAAAGAAAGCAAAATGAAAGAAATTTGGAACTTAAAATGTACAATTAAGTGATTTCAGTGAAGACAGATTTAGTATTAAAATATTTGGTAGCAATCCAATAGTTTAACTAGTTGCATACTTTAGCTAATCACTTTTCGTTTTAATTTTATATTTTTTCTGAACAGGTAATTATTCACTTGAATAAAATCAGTGAAGTACCAGTAGAAGATATTCGGGATTTTATGAATGTTATAATAGAAAGCATCAAACAAAATATTAGCTCTTTAATGAATTGGAGAGGAACAGAACAATGCAAATTTTGAAAATTTTTATATGTATATATATATATATGTGTATATATAATATATATATATGTATGTGTGTATATATATATATATATATATATATATATAAATATATAGACACACATATAGTTATCCTTCTAAAGATAAAATAGATCTAAAATTTTTAAAGCTATAGAAAACAAAATATTAAAATGAAACCCTTCTCTTAATGTTTTTTTGTTTTGTTTTAATTCCTTAAAAATTATGGTTTTTTTTTTTTAATTTCTTATTTTAATCACAGCAGGCAGCAATTTGTTATGTTGAAATGAGCTTACATTAATGTTGCAGTTTTCTAATGTTTGAAATTGAAACAATTTTCACCATTTAAAAAAAAAAGTTTCTGAATAAAAACAATTGAAGATACATTTTAATGTACATTTACACAAAAGAATTATTAAATACATCTTTGGAAAGTGTTGATCCTTTTTGTTGCATTTTGATATTTTAAAAAAACTTAAAATTATGTAAAATGTCAATGTATTTTTATTTGTGATTATAAAATTCTCTACAGAATCTTTTTCTTTTTTAAAGCAGTGTTCTACTAAAAAGTAACCAATTTTAAATAGCAATAATTGTTTTCAACTTTTCAAAATTTCAGATCACTTGAATAAACACTTATTATTCTTTCATTGCCATATTGAGTTGTTTTTTTAATAGCTGCGATTAATGACAAGCAATAGTCAACCATAGAGTACCAATGGATGAATAAAAGTATTTATGAAATATGGTATTTACATTTTTGACTTTAAAGTAGTAAATTTTGCTCTCACATGTTGGCTTGTTTTTCTTTTGAGTTTAAAATTGTTACAAGGCTATTTGTCATGAATGTTATTTTTCTAAAACATCAGAGGTCATTATGGCCATCAGTATACATTTTTTTCTGTGGCTGATATGGGTAAATGGTATTAATAATAATAAAAATAGTTTCTGTTCAAGTATTTTAAAATAATCTCAAAAGCTTCAAAATTAATAAAACAGTCAACAAAAAACATAAAGCCATAAAGAGAAAAGTTCACTTATCAGACACAAATTTGGGATAAAATAATGTAATAAAATGAAAACAAAACACATTTGATTTTAATAATTAAGCAAAAATTAAGTTTTTATCAGTATCAACTAGATTTTATACCACAAAAAGTAAAAACAAAAGAATAATAACACTAGAATAACATTGTACAAATAATAAGTATTGTTACATGTATGCTTTTAAACCTACAATAATCTTTAAGATTATATTTAAATAATTTTTATGATAACTATATGACAAAAACAGGCTTAGTACACAAAAAATAGAACATTGTAATGAATTAAAAACAGGTAATTCAATAAGTCTTAAAATTGGTAAAGCAAAAATGATTTATAACATAAATTTAGTTAAATTTCAGAACAAGATGACACATATTAATCAAAAAATCTATTACATATCTAAGGATGACTAAGCAATTACCTTAAATGTAAAAATGCAAAATGATGTAGGTACAAAATCAAATTATTAGTTATTTACATGGAACTGGAACATATTAATGAATGCTTAAAAAATCCCATCAAATTAATTGAAGGAGTTGGTCTACTGCAAAATCTTCTGAAATTGACAAGTGGGAGTGATCTCCACTAAATTTTCTTGTGCATTCTTGTATAACAATAGGTTGTTGCTCGTAATTTTTAAACTCCACTAATTTCAAATAAAATTATACCACAAAAAACAGGATTTTTTTCCCTACACATTGATACCAATTTTGTGTCTCTAGCTTAATTAGGAGCTAAGATATGGCCTTTTAAAAATTTGTGGGCGTGGCTAAAACAGCTTAGACCTTCGTCATTCAAGGCAATGTTACATAAGCAAAAAAGTTGGCACCGATGGTTTTTTCATTGCATCATCACGGATTCGCATTTTTCGAAAAATTAAAAATTATAATTTTATTGCATCATCCGGGATTCGCATTTTTTTTAAAACTAAAAAATTATAATCAAACTTAAAGCCTAAGTTATACTGGACTGGATGTGATTGACTGAGTAATTAATTGCCACTTATGATTCATATATTATTATTGACTTATTACTCCGTGTAAAAAAAAATAATGTAGGTTTAAAATAAACTAGATCTAGTTATTGTAAATCGATTTATTAATATTTAACACTGTCACTGCTATTATTATTTAATAGGAATGCACACCCATATTACTGCACAAGTTCTTTAATCTAACAGTAATTAACGATATTACTTGGGTAGATGAAGTAGAGTAGACCTACACACACACGACATGATAAATGGAAGTAGCAACTGGTTGCCTTTACGTTACTTTCTCAGCCCCCCCCCCCCCCCACGTACTGGATATTCAGTGACTATATCACTTAGTAAGCCATAATAAAATTATAGAACAAAATAAAAAGAAAACAGCTGTCAAAGTGTGTACCAGTGTTTATTACTACTAAATGCAATGTTAATTGTTAGAATGTGAGTAACACAACATACTGACATTTCAATGTTTGCTAAAAGAAATATAAATGATTAAAATACAGTAATCAGATTACCACATGAATTTTAATTTTGTCTAATAAAATAGAAACATTTAGGAGAATGGCAAAGAAAAAAAAAGATTTCTTGCAATAATTTAAAAATATGTTTATCAGAGCAAAGAAATAAATTACATAGTGACAACCGAAATTTAGCCCTTGTATGATCTACGATCAACACAGTACTGTAAAACAGTTAAATAATCATAATTAGTGTGAAGAAACAAATCTACAGTACAAGAAATCAACCTCGTCTCATTACGATCCCTCTTAAGAAGAAAAGTAGTATTAAATATCAAGGAATAAACATTAAAATATTGGTTTAAAGTATAATTACTAGTAAATCTAACCCATTCATTGAATGTATGCTGGAAAAAAATAGGTGACGAAAAATTACTTGGACCACTTTAGTCTTAAAACAATTTTCTAATTATAATACATTTTCAGATACAATTAGCACATCTAAGGAAAAGAAATACAATTTAAAAAGCGTTAGTACTCGTGTGATAAATCAGTTGGACCAACATTTATGAAGCATATTAACTACTGATTCTAGGATTATCTAGCTGATTTCAATTACCCTGAAAAATAAGTTAAGTAATTAATTAAAATGTAATTTTTTTTTTTACACTACGAACACTCAACTTAATTATAAATATTGTTAGTATTAGTTTTCAAAATAAGTTTACAATTCACAGCAATCATTTTTTCAGTAACAATTTACAAAAACACTAATGTTTAAAAAATTAAGTTCATTTGTATACTAAAAATGAAAGAAGTACTCTGAAATGCTGATTAGCTATTAATCAGAAAGAAAAACAAGATTCCTACAAAGTCAACAACCAGTGATTCTGTCAGATGACTGAAATCCTCAGCATTATCCTCACCCTCTGTCCAGTAGCGTATGGTGTAAAGAGCTGGCTTTTGTTTTGTTGCTGGCACCCTTTTAATAGTCCTTCCAGTGTATTGTGATACACCCTGATCACCTTGCTCCCACTTATGAGTCAGCTAGACACCAATCAGATTTCCCATCAGACACCTCTCCAGCTGTCGCACCAAGAAAGGCTCAGTAGAAGTCAACAACGCTTCCATGACTTTAAGAAACAGAGTACATTTGATCGCCACATTGCGTTCTTGTAAATCAACTTTATCAAAGGACCAGAAATTAATTTCCCAATCAGCCTGAGTGCTTGCAGCGCTGCATGAGAACCCGAGGCTTCTTGAGATCTGCAAGCAGTTGAATGTAGATTTTTGTTATGTCCCAGCAGCCACATCATTCTCTTTAAGATGAGCCTTGAATAAAGCTGGATCTCCATGAAAACTGTACCTGAAAAGATAAGGGCAAATGGAATTAGAATTTAGCAGACCATTTCACAAAATATATATCTAGCACAACATATTGCGAAGTACATAAAATAATTATAGAAATTAGAAATAAATTCAGTCTTCATACTTACAGAATGTACTTCCACCTGAGACATTGAACATAGAAAGGGCTGTACACAAGTTCCACCAACCTATTCCACTCACAAGCCTCTGTTCTCCTCAGCCGCTTTATGTCAGCCATCAAGTTTCTGATTTCATTAGCAATCCTCTTTACACCTTGTTGGTCCTGCCTATAAGCAAATAAGATGTACAAAGAAAACAAATTAACCCAAGTTGTAGGCACACAAGTCTAGAATTAAATTAATATTAACATTAATAATACAATTATCAAGTACTAAAATTGTCCTTAATAAAGAGGTCTAAGGGCATAGGGCTTTATAAAATTATATTATTACATAGGCCTAGTTATAGATGTATACACACAGGCCTATATTAATTTAAACATATAGGCCTACTTGATGAAGAATTATACATGAACTAGTCTAAATCTATTCTTAACCACTTAACAATGTCTCACTATTTTTACAAGATCTAGATCTAGCTAGGAACTAGGTATGAAATAGAATAGTTTCGGCAAAAATAATAAATAATAAAAACATTACTGTAACTGAAAATGTGTAAAAATATACCTAAAAAATTAATTAATGTAGCGTCTAGACCTAATCAAACATTAAACATAAAGATTAAATGATTGTGTTTAACTAAATGTACTGAATTAAAATAAATAGGCTAATTATTAGGCCTAGGCATACTTAATACTTTGCAGAATTAGATGAACACTTATAATTAATATATAATTAAAAATAAATTAACTAAATCTAGATTCTATATCTAAATTAACTAGCGCCTATTTCTTATTAGAATCTAGATATCTAGAACTAGATTAGTATAGGCCCTATTGGCTATTAGATTAAATTAGATCTAGAATCTAGATCTAGAATTAAACTAGATCTAGGCCTAAAGCCTAAAGCTAGATTATGTTTAATTTTTGTTTATCTAATAGGCCCCTAATATCTATCTAGTATCTAGATCTAAAATATAAATAGTAAATAGGCCTAGTGTCCAATAATATATTATATAGATCTAGATCTATAGATCTATAAAAAAAACTGATACTGATACTTGATTGAAATGATTGTCTTGAATTTCAAAACGTAGTAGATCTAGATCTAAGTAGAATCAAGATTTTCTAGTAGTTAGATCTAGACTCTAGCTAGATCTAGAGTTTTTTCAGACTCGCAAACTGTGGCAACACACTGAAAACACGCAAAAAAAGCACAACTGAATTAATTATGTAGGGCCTACACCCTATTTTAACACTCTAAAACTTACAAAGATATTTACGACTTAAGTTTTTATAACATACTGTGCGAATATTTAATAATTATTACATTATAAAGAAGTCACTACAAAATGGCGCGAAAAATCGATCTTTGCTGACACGATGTGTTCTCCCTTATACTTAAGGTCAAGTAGACATTTTAATTATGGAATAGACAGAGTTAACATTAAAGTAATTAAACAAGAGGTTAAATTATAAAAACAGGTGATAATTTAAAATTTAATTAATTAATAATTATTACCTTGTAATGACGCTGAGTTCCTTGAGTAAGAAAATAAAATCAAACACAAAGAAATTCTACGGGCGGCCAGTCTACATGTCTCGATGCCTTTTCAAAAGTACACACCGTGTAAAAGTGGCCAGCTGCTTCCATGTTGACCTGCATTTAATAGCTTACACGGACAATGAGTTCAACCGGAAGTCAGCCAAATCGCTCCGACGTGGTCGCCATGAATTCCCTAGCAATGGCGGTTGTTAGGCAAGCCGCGCAACAACCTAATAACAATGGTTTAGGATGGCACTGGAGTTGCATTTAGGCTAGCTCTATAGCAGTATAGATTTTGTGACAAAACTGCTTTTTTTTTGAGAGAGCACATAGAGAAAAAAAATTGCCCACCAAATGAATGCAAACAATGTGTGTAAAAAGAGTGGAGAATTAGTACTTTATTAAGCAAACTAATTAATTTTTAAATAGTTAATCTTCTAATTAAGTCTTATTTTGTGTGACATTGCATTGTCATCAAGTTTTTATAACCCATGACAGACAACAGACAGTGGAATCAAGATAAAAATTTGCAAGGAACAAATTCTGAGGGTCACTGGAAATCACTCAAAAGTTGACAGTAATTGACATATAGGAATTAATACTCTAGTTACAGGCTTGAAAAACCAGAAGTAAAGTAAGTAACACTTCTGGAAATCGCTCAAAATTTGATAGAATACTACAAATTAGATATATGTATATTGGAATTTAGTCAACCTAACTGAAAGGCAATCATAGGGTCCTCATGTTATTGTATTTACAGACTGATAGGCAAGAATGCAAAGCTAAAATTTTCTGACTCAGAGTTGTAACACATCAAAATTTGTAAAACTCTTGATGGATTTTTTGCAATATGACTACACTTCCTTTATATTTTATATTCTGCATATGAGAAAGAAAAAACAAAATGTTTCATTAAATTATTAAAGAATTAAAATATACAAACATAAAAATAGCACAGTAACAGGGACCTCTTAACAGTCCAGGCATACAATTTTTTTATTCACATATGGCTAGACAAATAAAACAAAAAATCATTATAGGCCTACAAGAAAATAGTCTTAATTTATTATCTGAGTCTAAATGTTTTATAATGTACAAATAATACATAAAAGTAAATCAAATTTCAGAAATATAAAACCCTAACCATTTAACATTTCAATTAAAAATGCTAAACAAGAATATAATGTAGTTACTAGATTTGTTAACTTAAAGCCTCATACCTGCAAGACTTTATGTAAATAAAAGTACTATAAATAGAGGTCACATCAGACTACCAAGAAGGAAAACAAAACAGAGTTGCAAGCGATTAATGCCATATCTTATTCAGTTGTGGATATATTAAATGAATGTTCAAGAATTTTTAGTTAGCCAGTTTCACATATTTTTATTAAATTTTCAAAAGCAATAAGTATACTTCCTATCAACTAAAGAGAATTTTAAAAATGACCTCATAGAAGTAAAAAATTAAATTGGTGCCTTATTTAAAAAATTAATTTAAATGACAAGAAGAAAGTAAAATAAAAACTGTCACAACATTATGACAGAAAAGTATTATTATACGTCAATGAATGAGAAAAATCAAGCATTGAATTGAAGAGAAATAGCTAAGTGTAACCCATTATCCAGGTTGAGCTAACAATGTGTCTCAGAACATTATAAATGTATGCATGTTGAACTAGCACAGTTTTAACAAACTATAAAATAATTTTTGTGTTTAAAAATTCTGTTTTTAAATGCTCATTAATTTCACACTAGTTCCAAAATTTCATTTTAACAAAACAATACAATATTAAACATTTAAAAAATTAAACAATTTACAGATTTCAGTAGTATGCTAAAACATACACATATTTGTTTAATTTTTACATCAAACACTGATAATGTCCTATTTGATTTTGAGAACAATTTAACATCACAATACCTATACAGATACATTGAAATATCTTGATGAACCTTACTATCTAGCAAGCGTAGCATCAATTTGCCTCACCCATGGTAGTGTTAACATTACCTTTCTTCTGTAATTAGGATCCATTTGTTTTTGGGAATCAAAATAAATAGGGTTTCTCTCAAGATAAACTGTCTCTAACTTTTTTAACTTGGTCAATGCTTCCACTTCATCCCATGATTCCACTAAATTGTCATTGAACTGTAATTAGAAAGCAATTGCATATCATTAAAATGGTGTTGGTACAATGATGTTAATGTTAAGTACACATTAAATCAATTTTAACAGTTTACCCAAAACTCTGCCAATTCTTCAAGTTGACTGATATTTTCTATCTTCTTTATTCTGTTTCCTGCTAGGTCTAGAGTTGTCAGTTTTGTCTATAACAAAGGAACAATGAACACAATTTTATGAAGTCACAGTTTACCTATGTTTTTATTTCTAATGAAAACTAAATAGAACATAGATAATTATAATGGTTTGGCTTACACAAGCTTCAAGCCCTTCTATCTTTTCAAGGCCATTATGACTTAAGTATAGCTCATCTAACTCAGTCAGATTCTCTAAGCCTTCAATTTTTAGAAGTCTATTGCTCTAAAAAAGAAAAATTATTGATACATTAAAAAAACACATCAAGTATAAATACTATTCCTTCCTTCCACATAAAAACTACAAAATGTGTACATTGAAGTCATATATATTTTAAACAGGGTAAATTTAAAAAAACTCAAAGCATGGTACAAATGATGTTTGAGACTCCTGCTTCGAGTACTACAGTAAAATAATTAAAGAATTGTAATGACTCCAGGTCCATATGTAGCCACAGCAGAGTTCAATTGATATAAGCATACAAGAAGTGAGATTATTCTGAAATTTATGAATTAATATACTACTGCTTAAGGGGGTTGGCGCTGGTAAAAACTCTTTTAATACTCGTTAGAAAACAATTATTTCTTTACAGCTTTTATTTAACTCACTTCCTCTGTCTGTCTAGATCGAAACGTCTGAGCGAAATTGCAGGCACTTCTGACAGATAAGGTTCTTAGTTGGAACGTGGGTCAAGACATGAAGACAATGCAGCATGACATTGAATTTGACTTAATTGGTTGCCTGATTAATTTTTTATAAATTAAAATTTTGTCCAAATTAGTAGGTTGTCTCATCAAACTATTCCGCCCTATGAGACACGCGTCATCACGTTCAATAGGTGCACAATGGTTTTTAGTCACGTCACTCTATTGTAAATAAAACATGTAAAGTACTAAAAAAAGGTAAGGAATGAAGAAAAAGTCCCAGATTTTTGGAAACGGGGAATCATTATCAAATTACCCAAAAAGGGCGACCTTAATGTTTGTGAGAACTGGAGAGGCATTAATCTTCTGTAAGTACCAGGAAAAGTCTTCTGCAGAGTCCTATTACAAAGAATGAGGAAAGGAATTGATGGGATCCTTCGTGAAGAACAAGCTGGCTTCAGGGCCAACAGGTCATGTAACGACCAAATATTTGTCTTGCGCACTATAGTGGAACAGTCCCTGGAGTGGAATTCGTCTCTCTACATCAACTACATAGATTTCGAGAAAGCATTTGATAGCATCCACCATCCATCATTATGGAAGATACTAGAGCTATATGGCTTTCCAGGAAAAGTCATAAACATACTTAAGGACATGTACTATGATAACCAATGCTGTGTGCGACACGAAAATCAGCAAAGTGAATGGTTCAAGGTAAAAACAGGAGTCAGACAGGGCTGTGTCATCTCACCTGTCATCTTTTTGGTGGTAATAGACTGGATTATGAGAAGAGCCACTGAGGATAAGCCAAGAGGAATTGTTTGGGAACTTACCAACCACCTAGAGGACTGTGACTTTGCTGATGACTTGGCTTTACTTTCACATGCCCAAAAAGACATCCAAGCGAAAACCACAAGAATAGAGCAAATTGCCAAAAGCGTTGGGCTAAAGATAAACTCCGGAAAAAACCAAGCTAATGAAAATAAAAACCAAAAGTGCTCTCAAGACCTTTGCGAATGGAGCAGAGCTAGAAGAGGTCGAAGACTTTAAGTACCTCGGCAGCTATATATCAGCAAATGGCAGCATGGAGAAAGAAATTGCCACCAGAATAGCAATGGCAGCACAAGCTTTCAACAGACTCGCTAAGATCTGGAAATCATCCTCACTGCAGCAGAGAACTAAAATAAGGATCTATAAGTCTAATGTACGTTCTGTACTCCTCTATGCTGCAGAGTCATGGAAACTAAACAAGAAAGTAGACAGCCGACTCAGAGGCTTTGAAAGAAGATCCCTCCAACGCATCCTCATGAGCAAAAAAAGACTCCCCAACATGGCGCTGAAGTGGAACCCACCCGGAAAGAGAAGTAGAGGAAGACCACTGGGAACATGGAGGAGGGAGATGGAAGAAGAAGTACAGGCTACTGGCAAAACCTGGCATGAACTAAAGTGGCTCGCCCAGGACAGGGTGGAATGGCGGAGATTTGTTGTTGCCCTATACTCCACAGGGAGTGATGAGGATTAAGTAAGTAAGTAAAGTACTAAAAAAAATTAATAAAAACATTTTAATAACAAGCTTTTATGTAATAATGCACTAAAAAGGAGAAAAATTATACACTATTTAAATAACTATAAAGTGTGGGTCTCTTCCTGAATATTAGTAAAGGAATCCAATAGATACTAAAGTGACTCAAGCTTTTCTTTATAGTTATTTAAATAGCAGTCTATAATTTATTTTCTCCTTTTTAGTGCATTAATACATAAAAGCTTGTTATTAAAACGTTTTTTATTAATTTTTTTAAGGTACATCCGGATAAGCGTTTCCATAAAAAAGCTTTTTTTGGAAAAATCATGGTAACTATGACAAGGGCGACCATCCTGAAAATTAACCCCTTCGTAGGTTTTCCACCATTTATAAAATATTTTATTTTAAGCCCAATAAACAATGAATTCATAATCTTCTAATCTTCTACCATATTTTGGGGCACTCAGCAAAAAATTTTAAGTGCATATCTTCAAACTAATTTTTTATGAATTTTCAAATTGTAGGTCCCTTAAAAACACTAGTTTTAATGCCCCATAATTCCCCAAAATGAAATGTTTTGAATTTTGAATTTAATTTTTCAAGATGGCCACCATTGTCATAGTTAACAAGATTTTTTTAGTGGAAATGCAAATTCAGATGTACCTTAAAAAAGCTGTAAAAAAATAATTGTTTTGTAATGAGTATTAAAAAAGTTTTTTTTATTGGCACCCACCCCCTTAATGACAAAATACTTGTAGTAAATGTTTCTATATGTAAATAAACACATTAAGTATATCATCAGGAAATTTAAATTTTATTTAGAAAAAAATCGTTGCTTGAATAAGCAAAAAGAACCAGACTCAAAGTGTTCTGGGTAAGGTTAATTTCTAAAACTTGCTTACCAAGAATTTATGAGTATTAAATTACATACAATTTTACATTAGTATATTAATTTACTTTAATTTTAAATTCAATGCTCTAGGTTAAGAATCATATATTTAAAAAAATATAATAGTAGCCTAATAGTTTATATATTTTTAAAAATTTAAGACATTCTATTATGTAAAAGAAGAAGGGCAGAAATGCATATTAAAAAATTGCACCTGTATGCTGAGACATGAGAGACGAACTAATGTACTCAGCCCATGAAGTTTTGAAATTTTATTTTTACCAAGGTAGAGACTGTGAAGATTCACTAAGTTGTCAATACCTTCAATAACCTGTATAGACAAATGTAAATCTTTAGTATTAAAAAGAAAATTACATAACAGTATTCAGTATCTCATTCCAGCTTAAGTTATTGCCATTTTTTAAATTATATGTATTACATTTAGATAAATAGAATTGTTATCACAAACTAATATAATACTGTACCCTGATTCTGTTATCCCCTAGTTCCAGCATTTCTAAATGAACAAGGTGGTTGATATTTTCAATTTTGCTTATTTTGTTATTAACTAAAAAGAGTTTCCTAAGATTAGTAAGAGTTTCAAGTCCTTTTATTTTCCTCAATCGGTTGTAAGATAAGTCTAAGTGTCTGAAAAATAGAATTTAAAATTTTTATTACAGAGTAGTTCAACTGGGCCTTAATAATATTAAGTAGCTAGTTGAACAAGTAAATAAAATATGACGTCACAGGCTCTAAACCTTTAGTGCACAAAAAAATCTAATTCAAATGTAGTCGTTCGCAATTGGTATTTTAACCGTTTAAAAACAATAGAACACGATTATGATTCCAATCATATTTGCAATACTTATTAGCAGCGGTTATTGACCGCCACCGCCGTATAATTTTTAGTTCAACTTTTTACTTGTTTTTGTTAATCTCATATTGAATTTAAAAGGTGAGTATTCAAAAATTTACTTAAAATAGCAAAACATTGAGACTAACTCTGTTTTTAGTGGAATTATCTTTATTATTTATTAAGCTTCCAAACTAGCATATTTATTTTAGGTTTATCCGTTTAGCAGACTATGCAAAATGTCTCACAAACTAGGTACCCTATTAGCGGTATCAATACTGCATTTTCATGTTCCTTCGTTTTATAGGAATTATGTCACCAATTTTTATACATTTTTTTCTTAAAGAATGTTAATAATTAAACTAGTAAATGAGTAGATTCAAAGATGATAAATTAACCTTTTTAAAATAGTAAAAATTGTATGAATTGAGCTAATATGTTGCGGCCTTTACTACATGCTACTAATGATTGCATTAGGTATACGATAACTCAACACATAGTTGAAATTAAGTTATACATAGAATGATTTAAAACTAAAAATAATGACACTAGGTTCGATTTGAGTAAGACTATACAATTTTTAGTTTGATTTTTTAACTACGAAAATCATCTTTTTCGTAATGCATTATAGTAGAAGCTTAAATCTAAAAATCGAGAAAAGCGGTATTGCTAATGTTTGGTCGCTTTGTCTGTTGGTATTTAGATCAATTAAAATAAGAAAACATTCAGACTTAATTTGAATTTATTGTGAGTCGGTACATTTTTAATGTTATTTTCACAAATGTTTTTACTTTCTTCAGACGTTCACAAGCTGTAAAGCCCGACTAACATAATAGACCCATAGACCTAAGTATTAGCGATATCGATACTACCTTTCTCCGCTTTCGTATTCCGTTATATTTATATTATATTATTATACCATTAGGTCTATTTAAAATGTAAAATAAAGATGTATCTAAGCTGTCTTAAACATAAGCCAAAGGTGGAAATTATTAATTGAACAGTGGTTGATTAAATTCACCAAGTAGACTGTGCGGGATCCAAATCTTATTAATATAAGAAATATTAGTTAAAAACAGAACATTTTACGAATGTGTTCATTCTATTGTAACAAGCTGAATGTGTACACTGATAGTCTTCATTTATTTTGTATCCCATTAGTTTATCTTGCTAAAGAATAAAACATACCCTTGTAAAGAAATGTCTATATTTATTTGCTTGATACTCACACTCAAATAACGGCTGTATCAGGAGGGGGGAGACTTTCTGAATTAAAGATCGAGTCGGGTGCTAATTGAATTGCTTTTTTTAAGTTAGTGTGATTGATTTTTTTTCGAATAGTACATCTAATAAACCGGGAGTGATCTCCCCTAAACTTTCTCGAATATTCTTATATAAAATAACAGGGGATGGGAACTCGGGCTATAGACATGATTTTTAATCCATTTTAAATACTTAAAGTTTTAAAAATAGAATAAAATCTCGTAGACAAATTAATTGCACACCAAGTGAACGCCAAATAAAAAAGCGCATAATAGTGCGCAATATTATTAGTACTTTTAAAATTTACATTAGTTTTTTGAGAAATCGGAAGTAGCGTAAATTACTACTTCCGGTCAACGGAAATTACTCAAAATTTAACAGAAGGTAGAGAATTAGATCTTTTACTTACATATGAAATTTCGTTTATCTATCTGAAATAGTACTCAAGTTATAGGCTTTTGAAAAATTCAAAGTAGGAAAAGTACCACTTCCGGTTATCGGAAATCGCTCAAAAGTTGATACGGATCTACGATTTTGATAAAATACTTATATATGAAATTTCATCAACCTAGCAGTAACGGTACTCAAGTTATCGTGTTTACACACGGACAGATAGACAGACACACAGACAAGATTGCAAAATTATGTTTTTCCGTATCAGTGAGGTGTAAAACGTCGAGATTTGTAAAAATCTCGATTTTTTTTTTTTGCACGATTACAAGACTTTCTCTATACTTCGTTTATACGAGAAAGTAAAAATGAAGCTGAAAGTATATAAAGTATGGTTGATAAGTTAGCTATGTAGTCCTGGGGTAGCTTTTGCTTTTCTAAACGTGATAGGGAATTGAATCTGCCCTTTATCGTCCACAAATAAAGGCACCCTTTGTAACACACATATGATTCCCCTCCCCGTTCCATAGCTTATCCTCATTGTTGCCAGACGTTTTTCCAGACCCTGTATCCCCAAGCTTTTGTTAAATGTTATCACAACTGGACAGTGTGGTCTAGTATGTAGATCGCCCGCTAACTAAACTGATAGATCGGTACCCGACCTGGTGATCGTAGGTCATCCCACGACCAAACTGTCCATCACGTTCAAAACCAGGTGGCAAGATGTCGTATTTAAAACTGGAGACAAAAGATGGACAGAAACCCTTGTGTCTAGCGTCTGTCTACGTAGCTGTGTGAAATGCTCGATTCTTGATAACGTTGCTGTTTATTTCGCACCAGCTATGTTCAGTTATCTAACGACACCCAAAGATTATCTCTTAACTGACATGCTTCCAATTAGTCAAAAACCCTCATATATGTTGCACTGTACTGAGCTGTCTCTATGATACGGTTTACCTAGGAATTAGGAATGTTTATTTTTTTTTACTCAGCCAGTTTCTTTTATTTTTACTATTACTATGAGTCATAGTAACAGTTCCACACCAAAGTGAACTTAAAATTCCAGGAGAATTCCAGTTTTTCAGGAGAAAAACCAAAATTTCAGGACATAATTTAACGTTTTAATGGCTTAACACCCCCCCCCCCCCCTTGCTACTGAGAAACATATTAAGCCTAGCAATCATAGCCATATCCCAGTGTCAAGTGTCTTAATTCCTCTCCACCTCACTAATGTCAGCCTCCGTACTAACAATGTCAATAATAATAAACAAACAGAACTGCTGAAACCATGATTTATCTTTTAAAAATGGACATGGTATCATGATTTAAATGGAAGTCTTCAAAAGTAAATAGCCTAACTGTAATTTTAGCTTTTTACCATTTGATGAACAAGTAGATCAACCTGAGTAGCTTAGATATAGCCTACTAGAAAAAAAACTGTACTTTGGAAATAAAACATTTCAGCCAAAAATAGAATATAGTTTTCTGATAGGTAACTTCGAAGTCGTTTTTTTTAAAATTGCCAGTAGCGTATTCCCCCCCCCCCCCCCCCCCCCCCCAGCTAGACACGGTAGCGCAGGGTCAGTTTGAGTTAATCTAAGCTTACAGTTGGCCTGTAGTATACTGCTGATGACATCACTAGCAGGGTCACACCGAGCTCACTTCATATACCCAACCAGCTGTCCTCCCTCCCCCACCCCGCCTTGGGAAAGAAACTGAGATGTGGGGATGGGAGGGTGGTAGTATTACAACACGCATGTAAATAGAAAGTAGATATAGGGCCTATCAGACTATGATTCCAATTAGCTGGGCAAAATCTAGAATTGGGCCTACTTGAAATTTCTAATTAAAAAAATAAAAGAACTTCAGGCCTATCAAACTGAGCCGCACTCATAGAAGTGAGCAAATAATTAAACCAAACCTACAGGTAAAAGACAGCTATAGGTCTATAATTTGAAAATTATGCCTTGTATGTGCAGAATCAAAAAAGCAGAACATTTTACTGGGGGAGGTCAGATCTGATTACCTAGAGATCTAACGCACGAAAAAAATATACGCTAAAATTATCCACGCGAGTAAAATTTCAGGACAGTTTACAAAATTTCAGGAGAAATGTTAAAATTCCAGTTTTCCGGATTTTTAAAATTCAAGGAGAATTCCAGGACATCCTGAAATTTCAGGAGGCCGCGGGAACCCTGTATGACGTTTGAGTTAAATGATTAAATCTATCCAGTGGTATATTTTTATTTAAATAATTTCAATAGACCACTTTTAAATTAAATAATTTATTAATATCTTAGTAGAGACACTCTTTGCAGTTGTAAATGCATTAAAAAAATACTTATTTGAAAATTTTATAATTGTGCGCCTACGCAGAGTTATTTCCCTTTCGCCTTTTTTCTATACTCTCGAATTGACCAATTTTTGTTTTCATTTTCCATAGGCTTATTGTCCCCGCAATTTTTACACTAAACCGTCATATCTAGTGAACCGTTTATTCTATAAACATAAATTTGGTATCATTTTGCAACAATTAGTCCCCTTAATACAACCCCATCGTTATTTTGTCATTTTAATTATTTAAAAAATTGTGTGCAACTAGCTAATATAAAGATGCCACATCTTACCCCAACCCACTACCACATAGTCAATGTGCCTACACACACCTTAACTCCTTCCCGTTCCTTGTGCAAATCAAAGTTCATGTTTCCAATTTATACAATGTCAAAGTTAGTCAAAGTTAAATGAAACGGCACAAGTAATTTTTTAATTTTTGAGTAGCAAACATAAATATCAGTTACCAGATAGAAAATTTTTAAACTGATACTCTCAACAAAATAATGCAAGAAATTCAATAAATTTATATCAAGTTAATTTTCCAATTAATACAATGTTAAATTGAAATAAAACCTAAGTGGTGAACAACAATCTCAAACAATTTGATTGCATTAGCTGGGAACAGTGCGTCCCGAAGAGAATATGATTGCTAGCTCAAAATGTCCAGAGTTCAGACCCCTTAGGCAGATGAGGCTAGTTAACCGAGGACAGCAACCCATCTAGGAAAGAAAACTACAAAATAAAAAAAAATGCTGCTTTGCAGATTTTTCTTAGGTAGACAAAGACTATGGAAGCAGATCCCAAAAGAAAAGCAGTCTGAAGTCAGAGTCAATGGGCTATATAGAGCATAACATAATTTGTATTGGAGGAAGTCTCCTCCAAAATTACTATTAAGAAAATTATTAAATGAAAATTATTTTATTAGCTGATAAGCAAACTAAACTTAAATTTTTAAATACTATTATAATTAATGCTGTTGTATTTTTTATGATTTGGCATGTTAATTTCTGCTAATAGGATGAAAATTAAAGTGTTAAAAAGAAAAAAAATAACAAAAGTGTGTATAGACTTTTATAATAAATACATAAATAAGTTTTGTAAATGTTAAAATACTGGCTTTTTTAGTATAGTATGGTCCATGACTTTTTCTGGTAGTATTAAAGTCTTTCAAAAACAAGCAACCCACAATGCATTTTATATATGTATGGTAAGGTAATAATTTTTTTTGTTAATCACCATAGTAATTTCAATGAGTAAGAATATCTTAAACTTTTATAGTATTAATATAATTTATACATTATGTTAAAAGTTTTAAAATAATAGAAAATAACACTGTTAATAAACTATTAAGGTGAGATTTATATTGTTTATAACTTAGGAGCATACATTATAAAGATTACATTACAGTTAAGTATCTTCTAAGTCAGTTAACCTGACTTCAATACAAGTGGTTCACTTGGGATCCTGAACCCATGATGCCTCCTGACCTATATGCGCATAACTTGACCAATAATGATGGAGTTTTACCAGTGATGCTGCTGTTTGTCAAATTTTAGTTAAAAAGCAAAACATTACACAAAGTAGGTTTTTAAACTGGTTATAATTAACAGGGATGTGACCAGACCAGGGAAAAAAATTAGGAAATTTTCTCCGGACAAGAACTCAATATGTTTTATCTATTTTTTTAATCGCAGTTAAAGCAGTCTCACGCCATTACTGTTCTAATTAATCGTTTAATATAGCTAATATTATAAATAAAAGAAGTTTATGTTACATTGAAAGTCTTGTCGAATTGCAATTTAATGTTTAACTTATAAACAACTTTTTAAAAAAAAATTACAATTACAATGTAACAAAAGTGGCAGTTAAGTTCAACATTTAGCTAATTTAAAGTGTACTAATGTAGTCTAGTTACACTTTTGTTTTCAATTTTAAATTATGCCTTATACTCTTTTAAAGATTGGCATGGTAAAAATGTTAGTCTTCAACTGTAAAATGCCTAGATTCAGATTAATTGTAATTTGAAAGTTTTGGGTTCAGGTGATGGAAAATGAAATTGACCAGATTAGCTGAAATTAGAAAGGGTCTGATATGTGAACCAAAGTTAACCATTTCGATAGCCAAAACACATTGTTATTTTTGTTTTTGGAATGGCTTAACTGTAAATTGTTTGAGGTCATCCATAAATGACGTCACGTTTTTTTTTTTACGATTTTTACCTCCCCTCTCCTCTCCATCATAAAAGACAGACCCCCCCCCCCTAAAATGACGTCACACCTCAGCCAAAAACCGCTCCACCCTCCTCAATATTGAATTTGAATTTTTTTTTAAACATCGTTTTTTTTTTCTAAAAGATTGACTGAGCTCGACCAACGTAGGATATTTTAATTAATTTATATTACAATTTTTTAAAAGTTTTCTGAAACGCGTAATAGCGGCTAAAATTCAGTTTCTAACATTACTTTTTTAAAATAAAAAAAAAATATGACGTCACACTATCTGACCCCCTCCCCCTCAATACACGTCACAAAATTACGGATCCCCCCCCCCCCCACTACGAGTGTGACGTTGTTTATGGAAGACCCCTTATTAATAACAGTCCATGTCGTATTTTTTCTTCGGAGTCACGTTGAGTTCAGTTTTTTTTTAAATCTTTAGGCCTATAGCATAGGTATTGCAGGAACAGCTATTTGAAATTACTGTGACGTCATTTTAATTTTTTTTCCCACAAGCAGTACCAAACACGTACTTGGGGGTCAAGGTGAGGTCACAAGAGCCACGGTTGCTACAAGGGGGGTGTAGTCTAGTCCTTATAGACATAGTCACCTTTTGCAAGGATTTTAATATTAATTTTAGATAGCTAAATAAAATAAAATCAGATAGAAACTGTAGATTTGGGTGGGTTTAAATACAGAAAGATAAATTAGGCTATATCGATAGCTAGATTACCAGGCTAGGGAGATGCGAGTTTCATTTGAAGAAAGGCATTATTTTAGAGTACTTTTTCCCGTGTTTTTGATAAACATTCAACTGATATCAGCGGAAAAATTTGGACCAAAAAATTGCGTTCTGAAAAATACTGAAATTCGCAGAAATTCTGAATCTTGACCTAGATCTAGATCTATGTTTCATCTTAATCTAGCACCGTCAGACCTAGCGCAATCGTCTAATTAAAAAGAAATGTGCATATTTGACCTAAGTACTGTAATTTTCGATTTAAATACTAATATATGGAATGCGCAAGTCGGCCGTTTCAGTAGATGTCATTTTCGTTTTTTTTTCCTAATTTTTAAAACTTCGGCAAAAATCGAAGATCGGCGGAAAAATTCGGCAAAAATGAAATCAGCGGAGGAAAATTGCAGCTGAAACGGAAAAATCGGATTTCCGCTAAAATTCGGAAAAGTCACATCCCTGAATTAATCTAAATTTGTATTAGTACTCTTATTCTTAAGTGTAACTAATTCTTAGGAAAACTTACTCCAAATTGACAAGAGCTTCTAAATTGGTGATTTCAGTTATTTGATTATCATACAAGTCAAGTTCTCTTAGATGTATAAGTGTATTCAGCCCTTCGATTTGCTTCACCAAATTTTGTCGAAGGCAAAGTGTCTAAAATTATAAAAAGCTGAATTTTAACATTCTACATATCTTGAAATAAAAAAAGTTTTAAAATAAACAGATAAAAATATATATATATATACTAAATAAAAAATGAAATCTTTTTAAGAACTAAAAGTTTAAAAAAAGATAATACCTCAACACAGATAGTTGTTTCCAAGTTGGTAATTTTTCCTATTCGACAATGATTGAGATCAATATCCTTATGAATGAAAATATAGTTATGATATTATACAGGCCTAAGAAAAAAGCATGATTTATAAAATATAAACAATACCAAAATAAAACAATGACAAATAGAGAAATAATTTAAATAACAATTTTTTTTTGGGCAAGCATCTTAGTATTCATGCCATTTTCCATTACAATAATGTCTGTTTTTTTTCAAACAGCATTGTGATATTCGTATATTGACCAATTCGTAATGCTATAATTAAAATACACCCTCAAGGCTATTAAGCACAAAGAAAAACCCATCAATATGGAGGAGATTAAAGTGGAAAATTTATAACATCTTTTTGGAATTTTGGAAAGTAGGGTCACCCATTAATAATGACATACCCCAGATGTTGTCACAGTCACAGGGTTGGGTGTAAGTAAGTGTGACATCACACTGTTATATTTAAAAAAGGGATCTTTTAACTTTTTTTTAAAACAGAATTCAAGTTGTTTTTACATTTTACTTTTAGAATATATTTTCTTTTGTCAAAATGTAATCTATAAATACAGTAAATTAAATAAATGGGTCCAACCAATGTTAACATATTTCAAGTTTAATTGTGAAATACCATTCTAAGCTAATATGAGTTCCATTTAGGGGAATTATGGAGAAGGATAGTGAAAAGAGAGGCAAGGGTTGCAGGGCTTGTGTGGATGCAAATAAAGAGAGCTACCCAAAACAAACTAGTCTAATGAAAAGGGATGGCTACAGCCCTTTGCTCCTCAAGGGCCCCAGGGGAATAAATCAAAGTCAAGTCATGAGTTCCATTTAAAATATGAAACATAGTTTGCAATCATGTGTTCGGATAGGTATCCTTAATAAAATTGCATGCATTGACATATTATGATATTAATCAAGACCCATATTCTTATTAATATAAACAAATATAAAAGCTTACAATTGCATTTGGATCCTCAATGAGCAGTTCATTAAAAATCTCTTCTGAGTCTTCCTCAGCTTCTGAGTTTTCAGGACTATGAAAGGAATTGTGCTGGTGTGCGGGCTTTATATTTGCCATTCCACTGTCTATATGTTTTTTTAAAGGAAAAAAGAGGTGAATTTAAGAAAAAAAAAACAAAGAGAAGAAGCTTTCTGCAAAACTAGTTAGTAGTCATTGGCAATCAATATAAGAAAATACTTAGAATAATAGGACTAGACTTAGTAATCTTCAAAAATGTAGGCATTACCAGATCCTAAAACCTATGGTGGCTTATTATAGACTAGTAATTTTAGTAGATCTATACCCCACTGGTTTTATCCTATAGTACCGTTGTATGCCCTTACTCAAATAGTAACAGGCAGTTTGGCTTAAAACTACCGGGGTCATTTATTGTTATTTATCTAACTAATGTTTGAAATATGTTACTAAGATAAATATTAAATAATATTTAATATTTATAAATAATGCCATTCTTTGATGGTTGATGAATAAAAATGGATTTTTGGCAAAAAGAACTTAATTAAACTTGAACAGCCAGCTTGATATACTTCTATTAAAGCCTTGACAATGAGGTAACTTTTTCGTACATTACTAGCCGCGGCCGATTTTACGTACCTAAAACTAAAACGATAGATCACCGATTACCACAATATTTTAAGTTAAATATTAAATAGTAAATGGCCAAGGCTATTCCCAGCCGGTTGGGAATAGTCCCAATACGGCTATTCACAGTCGGCTGTCATTTCATGCTAAATATGGCTGTGAATAATATCTTAAAATAATAAAAGCATTTATTGTGACTGGGGAATGAGGTATAGATTAAGAGAGCAGTGCTATTTTTATTTTGTTATAAAAATTTTTTATTACTATTACAATTAAAGTTTAGTTTAGCTTTTAGGCTCATATCAGACATATCTTTATCTGCTACAGGCTACGTAGGTCATAGATGATCAATTATGCACTCTAAATCTATACACTAGAATAATTAGTAGGCCTAATTTTTTAAATAAATAATACTAATTACTAAAGCAGTGGTTCCCAACCTTTTTCGAGTGGCGACCCCCTTTTATAAAAATTAAGTGACCCGTGACCCCCATAGAATTAAAAAGCCGAAATTATTATGGAAATCAATAAGCACTAAAATAAGATTTTCTAGTAGACTTTCAATATGAACTTCTCTTGATAACTGTTTTAATACCATGAGTAAAATTGCATACTATTCACTAAACATTCACGGTTAATTTTTTTTTAAGTATTTTTTTTTTAACGCCAACCTATGTCATTATCATTATCTTAATTTTGTTGTTAATCGAAAAATAGTGTTCAAAATAAAATTATATTCTCGAAAAGTCAATCAATTTTACGTTTGGATATAAATGGTTAAATACTACACCAAAATTGTGTCTGAAGTTTTTCATCTTACGCGGAATCATTCTACAAATCAAAGAATTCATCTTGTAATTCATCGGGAATGCTGGCAACATCAAGGGAAGAAGAGAATGGATAATGCGTCAATGCAGTTCGTTTTCAATAGATTCAAGATGCCCAGAAATTTCTTCTTTCAAAATTTTAATTATCTCACAATTAGATTCATCTACCACACTGCAGAGTTTCTCAAATTTACAATATTTCCAAGATTTATTTTCTTCGCCGATTTTGCAGCTTTGATAAAAATGCCCCGAGATAATCTTGGAAAGTGATAATATTCGTTCATTTTCCCTGAAGCTTCAGGTTATGCTTATGTTGATGTTCGAACACATCTGCTAGGTATGATACTCTCTCCAACGACTCTATGTCGTTTTAAGTATACCAAAAGGTCTTGTTTCCTTTGCACTTCCAAGAACAATTTGATTTCAGATTTCAATTCAAAAACACGATTCACAACAATTCGTTTGACAGCCAGCGCACTGTAGCGTAGAAGAGCAGAACCTCGTGATCTTTATTCAGATCTTTGCTCAGTTCTTTGAAGGCTCCAGATTTTATATAATTTACGACTTATACAAGAAATGGAGTCTTGATGGCGATAGGTGAGTGAGGGGAGTGGTTAGGGAGCTAAATCTTTTCTGCTTTCTGAAAGCCCGATTTTGACCTAAACATAGATGGTGGATCATCAGTACAAACTCTCACAGCCGTTTTAACCCATTTTAATCATCCAATTTAAAAAAACGTATTTATTTTTCCATGCTATCTTCACAAAATAGCAACTCTTCTTTTCTATCATCCGCATGAATATAGACAAAGACCAGCAACTGCGAACACGAGCTCACGTCTGTTGATTTATCAACTTGAAAAGCAAACAATGGTGAAAGCTTGATTTCAATAAAAATGTGTTATTTAACATCTACGGACATGTAAGAATTAACTTCACCATCTTCAACATGCAGCGTTTGGTGAGATTTTCTCCCATTGTGATTTTTTTTTGCTTGGCATTTTCTGTCGCGACTTCATTTGATGCTTGCACTAATGCTGTGTTTCCTTGGTGAAAACTTCCTGTTCGATCAAGTCTCTGACGTACGTTTGCAACTAGCTTCATACCGACGAAAGAACTCCATATCTTTTTTGGTGTGTTTCGAATGACTCGTGTCAAATGACGTTTTAGTTTTGAAGATTTCATAAACTCGTGACTGAGAACAACTTTGTACAGTATGCTTTGCTTCTTCTCTATTCCCTTTCCAGTGATGTTATTAAAGCCGAATTTCAAAAATTCTTCTAAATATTTATGTTTTGTTTCAAATTAATAAGGTTTAGTATACCAGGTTGGGAACCCGTGTACTAAAGCATCAGTTTGGTAAAGTTTAGTTGGTTGCTCACATTGCTATTAACTTATCAATTATCATTAAAAATTCACATTATCACATAGAATAAATATCAGGTGAAATAGGATGTCCTTTTTTATCAGCTATAATTCACAGTTTCCATCACACTTTTTTGTTTTTTCTCTTTTTTTTTTTTTTTTTTTTGGGCTGATATGCCAACAATTACGTCACAAAAAAAAATTAACAAAAGTAACCCTTCGATGAGTAACTTAAGCAACTGAAAAAATATTTTGATATTAAGATTGAGAGGCGTACATTAAGAGTCATAAACATAAAAGCATCTGTTGGATTTGAACCCACACCTTCGCAGGCTTCTGGCACGGTAGCCACTCCCAATGACCGCTCGACCACACATCTTCATGCCTAGATAGGTAATTTTAACATTAAATCTAACAAAAACAGTCACGTGAAGGCGACTGTGAATAGCCCCAATACTCAATACGGCTATTCACAGTCGACTGTGAATAGACACTTCGTTTTAACTAGGGACTTGGATGACGTAGATTTTGAGGCACTAAAAACGAGAGTTTTCTGCCCATACCGAGTTTCGTCGATTTAGCCGTGCGGTCGCGGGTGATGATCGAAAAAAATTTTTTTTATTAAAAATCGCCGATGCTACTAATAATTTGATGACTGATTCTGAAAAACAAATGGATTTCATATGTTACGGTATTTTTGTTTTGAGATTTTGTTGAAGGTGAAAATGGATTTTTGGAGCCAAACTTTGGCTACGTAAAACTCTTTGTACCATAAAAACTTACTAACAAGGAAGGCCATTAAAAAGCCCTCCGACCATAATCACCATTTTTCTTTATGTGTGTAAATTTTCATAATGTTAATCGATAGCAAAGTATTTTTTTATAAATAGTTTAGAAAGTATAGCCTTAAGCCATTTTACGACTACCGGGAAAGACAGAGGTTGAAACCGGAAGTGTACTTGTGTTGTTAATGACGCCATTGCTCTCAATTGAATCGATTTGTAAATCCAGCAACATCCACACGAATCTGACTTTAAAATCATTTTAAACTATAGAATTATATTTTATATTGATAAAACTATGATTTTTTGTTGACTTTGTGCGCATATTTTCTATTTAGATTCATTTTTTTTTTTGTAATTTTGAGTTAGATCTAAAAATAGATTTCTGCGAAATTTTTCAAGTTGAATTATTGTTTCATTTTAATTGTATGGCCTAGATATAGATCTATATTGTTCTTGAATGAGTTCTATATTTTATATTAGCTATCATTATAGTATCTTGTGTACTTTCCACATTTTTCTTAAATTTTAAAGCTTGATATAGGCCTAGATCTAGAATCTAATATAAAATTCCATTTGCCTATCATTTGGTCTATAAATTTTCTTATAATAAGATATAGGCCAATAGGGTAATTCTATATTAAACATTTAGCCTTTTGATTGCTTTTCAAGCGAATTTTTATTACCAATATTACTAATATTCAAACATTTTAGGAGTCCTATATTTTCTTTATAGCTCTAGGACTTTGTTCATTTTAGATTTATTACTAAATTACTACAATCCTTGTACAATGTTCTGTCTTCATCTGTAGGCCTATTTGAAGTACATATGATACTACTGTATTTTTGCTGTAGTATACATCTCAGTTGCTTTTTTACTAGTCTTGGCCCTAGATAAAATGTACCAGTTCAGCAAGGGGATAGAGAATCAAAAGATGTGGATCTACTCATAAGCAACTTCAATGAAGGAGAAATAAGTCCACTTAAGAATGGATGTTGCTGGTTTTTATTACAGTTCCAAAAGCTATCAGTCAGAGGAGACACAGCTTCAGTAGATGTTTAATCAGATTTCATTTTTAAATCATTGATGGTGTTATTTTTTAAAGTAAAAAAGTGATACAAGCTAACAGACTTAAACATGTTATCCACACAGCATGAGATGTCACTTAAATATATGACAGATGTTTCTTAATTATAAAACTTACCTTTAACATTAAATGGTGATCATTACTCCACCAATAAAAAAAATCATTTCAATTATTAAATTATTTGTTCAACAATAATTGTAAATTAAATTATATCAATTCTATGATAACATACACATAACAGGGATGAAATATCATGCATATTGACAACATTTAGATACAATTTTAGTAATCTAAAATCAGTTTAGCATTGTACTTCTTTCTTGCAAAAAAGTAGTTGCGCAGAACAAAAATGACTTTTTAAATTTGACCAACATTGTAACAAAACCACATAAGCTAAGTGAAATATTTTTACTTTGTGTGGATGTATACAATGTTGGCACCAATTAGGCCAATTTTCATTAAGATATTCCATATAATAAAAAATTTGGCAACAGATTATGTGTTGCCTATAGCAGAATTTATTGTTTAAAATTAAGGGGGGTATATGAGTTTAAACCCCTTTTTCATTAAATAAAATATTTTTAAAATCAAATTTGAACAAAGGAAATATCAAAGTATATAATAACCTTCATGTTTATAATATTTCTTGCATATAAGCAAAGTAATCTAAAATCAGCTCAACATTGTACTTCTTTCTTGCAAAAAAGTAGTTGCGCAGAATAAAAATGACTTTTTTATTTTGTCCAACATTGTAATAAAACCACATAAGCTAAGTAAAATATTTTGACTTTCTGTTAATGTATACAGTGTTGGCACTATTCAGGCCAATTTTCAGTAAGATATTCCATATAATAAAAATTTGGCAACAGATTGTGTGTAGCCTATCAAAGACGCTTATTCAAAAATTTTAGGGGGGTGACCCTCTTTGTTTACATTATTTTTTATGATCATTCTCATCCAATTCAATTATTTTTATCTTACTCTTTTACTGATATCATAAGCTTGATCTTAGTGAATTTTCATTAAAAAATACCTGCTATTTAAAAAGTTACAGAGATTTTAGTTCGCATCCAAAAAAGTAGGGAAGCAAAAAATTGAGAAAACCCCATAGTAAAAAAACCCGAAAATTAAATACATTAAAAATTCATAACTTCGTAACCGTTTGAGCTAAAATTAAAATAAAAGTATCTTTGTTCTTGTCTAAATGAGCTCTATAAACTGGTGCTACTACATTTTTTATTTTTTTAAAAATGAAATTTCATCCAAGTCCCTAGTTTTAACAACTTTAAGCCATGATTTTAAGGCCCTAATTGTTGTTAATGAATTAAATTCGATACACCTACTTTTTCAAAGCCAAGGTCCAACTACTTTTCAACTAGATCTAATAGATATCTAGATTCTAGAAAAGATTCTAGAAGTAGATCTGCGTAATGTATTGTTACTAGACTATACTATTGTACTATTAATTTGATTTTTAAGTGAAATAGAAACCAACAGAATCTTAAAGAGGAAGTGACGCAAAACTAGTCAATTGAATCTTCTTTTGTAGAAATGGTGGTCGCTCTATCAATTATTAGATTCGCATTTTTTCATAAATAATGCTTAACCTTTTTGTCATATATATATATATATATATATATATATATATATATATATATATATATATATATATATATATATATATATATATAAGTTTGTGTTGCTTTTGTGTTTTCGTTTGTGTTCGTTTGTATTTGCATTTTGTTTGTATTGTGTTTATATATATATATATATATATATATATATATATATATATATATATATATATATATATATATATATATATATATATATATGTTAGGGGTCATCCATAAATGACGTCACGCTTTTTTTGACGATTTTTACCTCCCCCCCTCCCCTCCGTCACACTTCGTCACAAAAAGCCAGACCCCCCCCCCCTAAAATGACGTCACACCTCAACCTACAACCCCCCTCAAAATTGCAGTTGAATTTTTTTAAAACATTGATATTTTTCCAAAATCTTGTCTAAACTATTACAATTTATTAAAACAGTTATCTAAAACGCGAAATAACGTCTAAAATTCGTTTTCTAACATTGCTTTTTTATAATGCAATAATGTGACGTCGCAACATCTGACCCCCCCCCTCCCCCTCATCACACATCGTCACAAAATTGCGGACCCCCCCCCTCCCCCCTACGAGTGTGACGTCATTTATGGATGACCCCTTACGGTCAAAGCCCGAAATGCGGCCAAAGCGCGGATTGGCTGGCCAATCCGCGCATTGGCCGGCTCTCTTGGCCAAAGCCCGAAGAACTTAGCACTAAGATCGTATTGCTTACATTGGCCGGCCAATGCGCGCACTGGCCGGGATGTCCTGGCCAATGTTCTATCTAGACTAAGTTGTGATCGCATTTTCATTATTCTGGGTGCGTTTTCATTGAGAGTAACGTATTGTTTAGCTCTTGTTTGTATAGCATTCTATATGCAAGGCGACATGGATCAAAAGGGCCGTCAGACCATGAGACAGACATAGCAGATCGCTGTCAAAAGAAAAAAAAATGTAAATCCATGTTAGTTTCCATTTATGGCTCTCGATAAAATAGTTACTGAGGAAGATCTTGAGAACATTGAACAAGAAATGGAGGTTGCCATAAATGCAACGACATCCTCAGCTAACACATCTACTGCCGTGGCGGAACGTCCAGACCAGTTGCGTGGCAATAATGTGGCCAACAGATTCTATATAGTTTGTGAAAAACATTGTAGTGCAGCTCATTCTTTTGGATCATGTGGACCGGCCGAAGTCTGAAATAGCTCTTGATTAGAAGATCATCTGGCTAGGGAAGACCGGCCAAAGTCCGAATTAAAAGATCATGAGCAGGTTTGGGTTGTTTTTTTATACCGTAAAGATCATGAAACTAAGTCTTTATTGATTATTCATTAAAATAAATTACAGAAACATTCAAATATTTTATTGTACTATAGTCTCAATCAATCAATATTATCACTTGTTACGACAACTTTTATGGCTTTTAGAATTACATAATAGCTTTTTATTTTTACAGTTGCAGCGATTTTTTGTGCACTTAGTTGTGCAATTGCAGCGAGTCTAGCCTTGGCCGCCGGTCAATGATTGTGAAGATGCGATGGTTCGTGGTGATTTTTCCTCAGTTCACACTGACGATAATATGAGCAGTTTTTCGTGAAGAATTGAAAACTCACTTGTAGCATACAGTTGGTTTAGAACACCATGTTCCGTTCCTAAATAGTAGAAAGCGCCCTCGACGCTCATGACAACTGCAATGACGCTTCAGGGATTACCGCAACCTCTGTCAACATCTGGTATACGGATGCGTACATTGTCATCCACTTCAGCTTGTTTAAATTTTGAATTTGATGTTTTAAGCATCTTAACACCTTGAGTTTGCAAGCTAGTATGAGCTGCTGACCTGTTGTCCACGATGTCTTGTTTATTGTGACACAATCTGCAGGTAATATTTCCTCCGTACCCTTCGTCTGCTTCATTGTGTATTCCGCAAATAGCATGGACATCGTTGTCGCAGGATCCACAAGAATGGGCTGAACTACAATGTTTATCACAAGCTATACAGAATCTGTTGGCCACATTATTGCCACGGCAGCAGATGTGTTAGCTGATGATGTCGTTGCATTTATGGTAACCTCCATTTCTTGTTCAATGTTCTCAAGATCTTCTTAAGTAGCTAACTGATCGAGAGCCTATCTTGGTAGATTTGAAGTGCTAAGTCCAAACAAGGCTTCGTATGGCGATTGTTGGATTCCTTAATGAAAATTACGGTTTTTCATAAGACTCTCAGCCCAATGAGCTGATTCATCTGTCTGCATCCATGTCATCATCATGTTCGATCATCTTAGTTGGCACGTTCTACTGAACATTGGCTTTGGCCATGCCTGGTTTTCTGTGAACTAGTTTAAGTTCAGGCCACATGTTCTTTAGTTCAGAATTAATTTGATTCACAAATTCTTTTCCATTAGGATTTGGATTATTTATTTTGGCAGCCATATGGTATGTCTGTCTCTTGATCTGACGGTCCTTTTGGTCAATGTCGCATTGCATATAGAATGCTATACAAACAATAGCCAAACAATACGTTACTCACAATGAATCCGCACCCAGTAAATGAAAACGTGATCACAATTTAGTCTAGATAGAATATTGGCCAGGACATCACGGCCAGTGCGCGCATTGGCCGGCCAATGTACGAAATACGCTCTTAGTGCTATGTTCTTCGGGCTTTGGCCAAGAGAGCCGGCCAATGCGCACATTGGCCAGCCAATCCTGAGTTTGGCCGCATTTCGGGCTTTGACCGTAACATATATATATATATGTATATATATATATATATATATATATATATATATATATATATATATATATATATATATATATATATATATATATATATATATATATATATATATGTGTGTGTGTGTGTGTGTGTGTGTGTAAATGCCCTACCATTTAAATAACTGTAAAGAAAAACGTGGCTTATTGACTTCTAGTAAAGGTATTCAGCAAATAATATGATGATCGATACTTTTCTTTACTGTGATTTAAATAATAACGCATTAATATTATACACGAGAAAAATGGCCCGTTGAGGAAGGATACAACGGGCGCTAGGTTGATAGTGCTGTCTATTTTCTCTAAACTAAAACCAACCCCCCCCCCCCCCCCCCAAACATGTCTACCGTCCCATTCAACGAAATATAATAATATACTCTTCCAGTGTCCGCCCCCTCCCAGAAAATTCTACCCCCGCCCTTGAAAATTTCAAGTACCCCCACCCCTCTCCGGAGAGGAAAAAGTCTGAAAGAAACACTGGTCGCATTTGTAGATCTTACAAACTAAAGAAAGAACCTGGGCGGGGCTTCACCCCTACCGGAAGAGATGCATGAAAAAAACTGTGCACGCTAAACACTTTTTAGATTAGAAAAAGTTCCTCCCTCCGGGGAGGAAAAAGTCTGAAAGAAACACTGGTGTCGCGCTTAGCCACTACTCGAAGAATTGCATGAAAGAAACTCTGCACGCAAACCACTTTTTAGATTAGACACACGAATTAGGCTTTAATTTTATTATACAGTATCGATGACGACATTTCTTTTGAGTTGGAGGGGGGGGGGGGGGTCGGCTTAGACGTTCTCACGCGGGGGATGGGCTTCGCCACTACCCGAAGAATAGTATGAAAGAAACTCTTCACGCAAACCACTTTTAAGATTAGACAAAATTGGCTTTTTAATTCAATGTTTACTCGAGAATCAATAACGTCATATTGCTGTGTGCACTCTCCGTCTGTAGACTAATTTCTACTATATGCTTCAATGTGACGTCATGTTTCGTTTTCGTTTAACTATGTATGTTTTTAATTTGCTTGTGTTTTCTCTAGACAGATAGATAGATAGATAGATAGATAGATAGATAGATAGATAGATAGATAGATAGATAGATAGATAGATAGATAGATAGATAGATAGATAGATAGATAGATAGATAGATAGATAGATAGATAGGCCTACATAGACAGACAGCAAAACTATTATTATAAATTTAAAGAAATAATTTATATTTTCTACTTTTTAGTACATTTTTATGAAAAAGCTTGTTATTAAAAACGTTTAAATAACTTTTACTTTCTTGTAAAAGAAGTATTGTAATCACGCACAAAAACAAAATGACATTTAATAGTTTTCACCCCAAATTATCGTATGCCGCGTTCTGTCTGTTTTTAACGTTATCGAGAAAACCCAAGGACGCATTTTAATAACTGCAAAATTTTAAGTTGCGATTTTGACAAATTTTGATGTTTTTTAACCTTCCACCCTGTTCATCTGTGTATGTATGAAAACACCATAACCCGAATACCGTTTCAGTTACGATCAAGAAATTTCATATTATATAAATATAAGTATTATTTCATTTTTTTTCCCAACTTTACTGCGATTTCTGGTAACTTGAAGTGATTCTTAACCCACTTCAGGTTTGTCAAAGCGTAGGCTATAACTTAAGCGCGTTTTAAGTTCGCCTATATTTTTATATATATATATATATATATATATATATATATATATATATATATATATATATATATATATATATATATACGTATATATATTATATATATATATATATATATATATATATATATATATATATATATATATATATATATATATATATATATACATATATATATACATATTCTAGGCATACTGCCTAGCTTCGCTTAGGTTTTCAAAAAACTTTTGAGAATTAAGATGATTAATTAATTGGTGATCGGCTGTTATGTGGAGTGCTTAGGGCCTAAGTTTAAACAGTCAGAGTAATAGTATGGCATGCTAGCATTTGTGTAGTCGCAAACTTATTACTCGCAAGGTAATTAGAACTGCAAAAGCTTCCTTTAAAAGTATAAATCAAATATTATAATAAATTCACTTTAGCAATTAATTTGTACAATTTTAGTATAATACATAACATAATTTATAACGAAATATTTATTTAAACGTATGTATTTCATTTTAACCCCCCCCCCCCGCCCCTCCATACATGGATGAACATATAAGTTAATACGATTCTCAACCAAACCGTTTACCTCATGCATATTTTACAACGTTGAGTTGATGTAACTATTTAATTAAGACTATTTAACACTCTAATTAATCACTTAATTAAGTGGAATCATCATTTTTCTCTCTGTATTTTGCTATTTTTTGCCTTGGTGTCACCCGGTGCGGTCCGCCCACCCCCGCTACGCCACTGTTACTTATTTCTTTGTAGTCCATGGGGAGCGAAGGGCCACAGAGGCGTAGTGACCCCTCCCGTCGCCCGGGGCGAACCTTTATTTTGCGCCCCCCCCCCATATATCTATATCTATCTATCTATCTAACTATCTATCTATCTATGTGTGCGTGTGACAATCCGGAAAAAGATTTAATAATTACGACGTAATTTCCCTTAAGATTGTGACGTAGGCTATAACGAAAATATGTAGGCACGGAGAGAGTGTTTGGAGTGGCCTCCCCTTGAAAGTGTGTGAACAAAGCAGTGTCTGAAGCAATGTGGTGAGGTGTCAACAGTGTAGGCCAACTCGTCCGTTTTCTTATTGTCACGTTTCTTCTTATTGATGAAAAATACCAGTAAATTATACAGATTCTCTTTATGGACTGTGTTCATTGTCCACCTGGCTCCAACGAGCACACAACACCTTAGAATAGATGTCGGTTGTAACAAGATGCATAATCCTTTAAAACATGAAATTAACCTCATCTGAGTTTAGAGGGACGTTTGTAGCAGGTGCTATGAAAACAATGCAAACACAAACACAATGCCAACACAAATGCAAAAAACACAAACGAAAAAATAAACACAACGTAACTACAGACACAAAAGAAAACGCAAAAGAAAACACAAACACAATACAAACAAAATGCAAACGAACACAAACGAAAACACAAAAGCAACACGAACTTAAAAGAAAAAACGAACGTAAACACAAACGAAAACGCAACTACTTAAATGCAAGCATCAACGCATAGTGCTTACAGTCTAGCCCGGTGCGCTAAATCGCACCCTGCCGGGACACCTGTGGAACCGCCTGATTCATCTTAGTAATATCTATAATACCCTATCTCATTCATAAAACGATTATAATACCCTATCTTATTCATAAAATAAACAAAAGACAGTATTTAATATATCCTTGTTTTACCTACCATATTGCACTTTATCAGTCCATGCTAATTATATTATTGCATTCAAATTTTTTTTTTATTAGAGTTGAATTTATTTTTAAATTACCCCCCTGACAAAATTATTAAATATTTTGATTAATTAGTTTTTCGACCCTACTTTTATTAAAACGTATCCAATTTTTCTAGAATTTTAAGCAAAAATATTATTTGACATAGAATCTAGATCCGTTTAATATGTTTTAGCAATGTGTGTGTATTTAATATTTCTTCATGTTATGCGAAAGAATAAAAACTGTGGCACCTATAAAATAAATTCAAGTTGTTATATAAACAAACCCTACTCAATTTCTTACTATAAGTCAATGCGATGCAATTTAAAAGCTCTGCATGATTCAATATTTACTTTCGTGGTTCAAAAACCTACAACGATGACGCGAGGAAGGAACGATGGAAGGAAATGACTGATACACTACCACCAGCCTTATATTACAGATCCTACAAAAATAAGTTTAAAGCGTTATGTTTTTTTTTCTATCTGATGTATTGACTTAGGTACAAATTGCTACATACAAACATTTCAGACACTTGGAGATATATAAATCTCCAGTTTTCGTACACACAGTTATGTATGTTTTGATCTAATGTAGCAACATATTTCTGCCAGTGATTATATTCCAATGGATGTTTAGTTACCATTAAAAATTTATATGTTGTATAATCTTATGTTTCGCATAATGTTATGCGTTGTTTAATGTTATTGATTGTATTATATGTTATGATTTGTATAATAAGTTGTGTGTTGTATAATTTTATTGCTTGTATATTATATATGATGATGTGTATAATACGTTAATGGATTATATACTTTTACAAACGATATACTATGTTATGTGTTGTATAAGTTGAAAAGCTGTATAATATGTTATGCTGTGTAAGTCCATTCGATTGATGACCGTGTTCTGGCATTACTTGGTCCAATCAAGATTCTACAGAATGCTCCTCAGAACTCGAGTTCTCTTTAGACTTGGAGCTGTGTTCTTCATCGGATGCTCCCTGCTCGCTTGGCTGATTGATTGCCACTACAGTTTGTGACTGGAATGGTGTGTTCGACCTGGACTTTCTAACATTGTCTTTTTTCTTCTTCTTTGCATTTTGATTATGGACTCGCTGAGCCCGCTGTCTAAAATATTCTTGTGGATCGTAAACCAAGTCTGTAGAGTCGACACATTTGTCATTGGACCGACACTCTCTTATTTCAACAACCTCTTTTACTGAAAGTAAACACAATTATGTTATCAAGTCATCAGGTCAAAAAGTAGATCTTCCGCTAACTAACCTTGTAATTGTATCTGCTCAATAATTGCTTTGTAGAATTAGTTGTCAATGAACTAACGACATTAAAGCCAATATTAGTGTTACAACAAAAATCAATTCAAGTCTAACACAGTACGTAGACGCTATAATTTCATTTCCTAATTTACTTTTTGTATTTGTTACACATTTTATTAAGGTTTCTAAATCAAATGATTACAATATGTATAATAAAATAAAGTATCATTTACTTACGTTTTTTTGCGAACATTATTTTGTATCCTGGAAAAAAAAACACCACGTTGTTATTAATTCATTAAAAATCTTTGGTGTTATCTGGAGTTAAAAATACTAGTCTATTTTTGGTATGGTCAGTGTAAAATTAACTATTTTTTTTACAAAGGATGTTGAGGCTACTAAGTAATTCATATAGGTAGAAATAATTACAAAACAAGTTAATTAAAAATGTTGGGCTGTTTTTCGCCAACATTAAGTTGACAGAAAGTGTAGTTGTGTGTTGCCAACATTAACACAACTTGACGTCTACTAGTCTTTTAGCCTAATTTGACGTCTGTTGGTCTTTTAGCCTAATTTGACGCCTACTGGTCTTTTAGCCTAATTTGACGTCTACTGGTCTTTTAGCCTAATTTTAGCCTAGTGCTTAAGTATTTCTTGGTAAAAGATTAAAATAAATACTCAATTTAAAGAACAATCTTCACAAACTTACTTTCAATATTTGCAGCCTTTGCCCTACCTAGTGAAAGCTGAAATCCTAGGGTATAAAAAAATATACCAAGTGTAGACAGATAATAAAATAATAAATCTAAAGCAATATTTCAAATGAGAAAAGTATGTTTATGTTTCAAATTGGTGATCTATAGTAATATATATAATGTATAATGTGCATGCCTAATTTGACGTCTATTGGTCTTTAAGCCTAATTTGACGTCTATTGGTCTTTTAGCCCAACTTGACGTCGTCTCTTCTAGCCCAACTTGACGTCTATTGGTCTTTTAGCATAACTTGACGTCTATTGGTCTTTAATCACAACTTGACGTTTACTGGTCTTTTAGCCCAACTTGACGTCTATTAGTCTTTTAGCCTAATTTGTCGCCTAGTGGTCTTTTAGCCTAATTTGACGTCTGTTGGTCTTTTAGCCTAATTTGACGCCTACTGGTCTTTTAGCCTAATTTGACGTCTACTGATCTTTTAGCCTAATTTTAGCCTAGTGCGTAAGTATTTCTTGGTAAAAGCTTAAATTACATACACAATTTAATGAAAAATCTTCACAAACTTACTTTCAATATTTGAAGCCTTTGCCCTACCTAGTGAAAGCTGAAATCCTAGGGTATAAAAAAAATATACCAAGTGTAGACAGATAATAAAATAATAAATCAAAAGCAATATTTCAAATGAGAAAAGTATGTTTATCTTTCAAATTAGTGATCTCTAGTAATATATATAATGTATAATGTGCATGCTGTCCAGTAATGTTATAATGACAGTGTATTAACGCAATATTCAAGTATTTATAGACATAAAATATTTGTTAATAAATAACATGTGCCTTAAAGTTTATGTAAATAGTTTACACAAATGTAAACATATTATGGCTGTATAAAAATATTTTAACGAAGTAGTTTACTGTTATGCACATACATAATATGTATATTAAAAACATCATACCTGACAAGTCGTGAGACTATAAAAGAAAAAAATAATAATGCGAACATTAGGTCAAAGGCCTCATAAAACTTGACTTGTTAAATTAAACACAAATATAACTCTAAAATCAAACATGCTACCCTAAACCTACCTAACTTGCTACCCTACACTTAACATGCTACTCTACATCTAACATGCTACCCTATACCTAACTAGCTACCCTACACCTAACATGCTACCCTACACCTCTACCTAACATGCTACCCTCTACCTAACAAGCTACCCTACACCTAACATGCTACCCTACACCTAACATGCTACCCTACACCTAACATGCTACCCTACACCTAACATGCTACCCTATACCTAACATGCTACCCTACACCTAACATGCTACCCTATACCTAACATGCTACCTTACATCTAACATGCTACCCTACACCTAACATGCTACCCTACACCTAACATGCTACCCTACACCTAACATGCTACCCTACACCTAACATGCTACCCTACATTTAACATGCTACCCTACACCTAACATGCTACCCTACACCTAACATGCTACCCTACACCTAACATGCTACCTTACATCTAACATGCTACCCTACACCTAACATGCTACCCTACACCTAACATGCTACCCTACATTTAACATGCTACCCTACACCTAACATGCTATCCTACATCTAACATGCTACCCTACATTTAACATGCTACCCTACACCTAACATGCTACCCTACATCTAACATGCTATCCTACACCTAACATGCTACCCTACATCTAACATGCTACCCTACACCTCTACCTAACATGCTACCCTACATCTAACATGCTACCCTACATCTAACATGCTACCCTACATCTAACATGCTACCCTACATCTAACATGCTACCCTACACCTAACATGCTATCCTACACCTAACATGCTACCCTACACCTAACATGCTACCCTACATCTAACATGCTACCCTACATCTAACATGCTACCCTACATCTAACATGCTATCCTACACCTAACATGCTACCCTACATTTAACATGCTATCCTACACCTAACATGCTACCCTACATCTAACATGCTATCCTACATCTAACATGCTACCCTACATCTAACATGCTATCCTACACCTAACATGCTACCCTACACCTAACATGCTATCCTACACCTAACATGCTATCCTACACCTAACATGCTACCCTACATCTAACATGCTATCCTACACCTAACATGCTACCCTACATTTAACATGCTATCCTACACCTAACATGCTACCCTACATCTAACATGCTATCCTACACCTAACATGCTATCCTACACCTAACATGCTACCCTACACCTAACATGCTATCCTACACCTAACATGCTACCCTACACCTCTACCTAACATGCTACCCTACACCTAACATGCTACCCTACATCTAACATGCTATCCTACACCTAACATGCTACCCTACATTTAACATGCTATCCTACACCTAACATGCTACCCTACATCTAACATGCTATCCTACACCTAACATGCTACCCTACACCTAACATGCTATCCTACACCTAACATGCTACCCTACACCTCTACCTAACATGCTATCCTACACCTAACATGCTATCCTACACCTAACATGCTACCCTACACCTCTACCTAACATGCTATCCTACACCTCTACCTAACATGCTATCCTACATCTAACATGCTATCCTACACCTAACATGCTATCCTACACCTAACATGCTATCCTACACCTAACATGCTACCCTACACCTAACATGCTATCCTACACCTAACATGCTACCCTACACCTCTACCTAACATGCTATCCTACACCTAACATGCTATCCTACACCTAACATGCTATCCTACACCTAACATGCTATCCTACACCTAACATGCTACCCTACACCTAACATGCTACCCTACATCTAACATGCTATCCTACACCTAACATGCTACCCTACACCTAACATGCTACCCTACACCTAACATGCTACCCTACACCTCTACCTAACAAGCTACCCTACATCTAACATGCTACCCTACACCTAACATGCTACCCTACACCTAACATGCTACCCTACATTTAACATGCTACCCTACACCTAACATGCTACCCTACATCTAACATGCTACCCTACACCTAACATGCTATCCTACACCTCTACCCAACATGCTATCCTACACCTAACATGCTACCCTACACCTAACATGCTACCCTACACCTAACATGCTATCCTACATCTAACATGCTACCCTACATCTAACATGCTACCCTACACCTAACATGCTACCCTACACCTAACATGCTATCCTACATCTAACATGCTACCCTACATCTAACATGCTACCCTACACCTAACATGCTACCCTACACCTAACATGCTACCCTACACCTAACATGCTACCCTACATTTAACATGCTACCCTACACCTAACATGCTACCCTACACCTAACATGCTACCCTACATTTAACATGCTATCCTACACCTAACACGCTACCCTACACCTCTACCTAACATGCTACCCTACACCTAACATGCTATCCTACACCTCTACCTAACATGCTATCCTACACCTAACATGCTATCCTACACCTAACATGCTATCCTACACCTAACATGCTATCCTACACCTAACATGCTATCCTACACCTAACATGCTATCCTACACCTCTACCTAACATGCTACCCTACATTTAACATGCTACCCTACACCTAACATGCTATCCTACACCTCTACCTAACATGCTATCCTACACCTAACATGCTATCCTACACCTAACATGCTATCCTACACCTAACATGCTATCCTACACCTAACATGCTATCCTACACCTAACATGCTATCCTACACCTCTACCTAACATGCTACCCTACATTTAACATGCTACCCTACACCTAACATGCTATCCTACACCTCTACCTAACATGCTATCCTACACCTCTACCTAACTTGCTATCCTACACCTAACATGCTACCCTACACACCACTACCTTACACCATTCACCATTACCATTCACTACTACCATTAACCACTACCTAACACCACTCAACATTACATTACACCATTCACCATTACTTTACTACACCATTAACCAATATCTTAAAGTGAGCATATCTCTACTGAGTGTAAGAAAAAAGTTAAAAAAAAAACTGTTAAAAATCCTTACCAGGTCATCACTACCTGAAATAGAAATACAGAAATGCCGTAAACACTGATGTTATATTTTACAAATCTGAATATATTTATGCAATTATCACTTAATTGATTCGGCATTGTCTCTCTTATTTAAGTACTATCAATAGCTCCTGGCAAAAAGCCTACCTCACTCGACCCTAACCATCACCACCAACAACCATAAACACTAACACAAACACGTACATCAACAAAATAAACAACGTTACAACATAAACAACATTACAACATAAACAACATTACAACATAAACAACGTAAACAACATAAACAACGTAAGCCACCTAAACAACATAAACAAAATTACAACATAAACAGCGTAAACAACATAACCAGCGCAAACAACATAAACAATGTAAGCCACCTAAACAATATAAACAACGTAAGCCACCTAAACAACATGAACAACGTAAGCCACCTAAACAGCATAAACAACGTCAGCCATCTAAACAGCATAAACAACATAACCCATGTAAGCCACCTAAACAACATTAACAACATAAACAACGTAAGCCACCTAAACAACATAAACAAAATTACAACATAAACAGCGTACACAACATAACCAGCGCAAACAACATAAACAATGTAAGCCACCTAAACAATATAAACAACGTAAGCCACCTAAACAACATAAACAACGTAAGCCACCTAAACAGCATAAACAACGTCAGCCATCTAAACAGCATAAACAACATAACCCATGTAAGCCACCTAAACAACATTAACAACATAAACAACGTAAGCCACCTAAACAACATAAACCACGTAAACAACGTAAGCCAACTAAACAACATAAATAACATAAGCCACCTAAACAACATAACCAACGTAAGCCACCTATACACATAACCAACATAAACAACGTAAGCCGTCTAAACAACGTAAACAACATAAGCAACGTAAGCCAACTAAACAACATGAATAACGTAAGCCAACTAAACAACATAAACAACGTAATCCACCTAAACAACATAAACAACGTAAGCCACCTAAACAACATAAACAACGTAAGCCAACTAAACAACATAAACAACGTAAGCCACATAAACAACATAAACAACGTAAGCCAACTAAACAACATAAACAACGTAAGCCACATAAACAACCAACAACGTAAGTCACCTAAACAACATAATCAACATAAAAAAAATGTAAGCCACCTAAACAACATAAACAATGTAAGCCACATAAACAACATAAACATCTATGACAGTAGAGCAGTTTACTCACGGCGTAGTCTAGTTTGATCGGTAGAAACGAGAATCTTGGCATTGCGCCATCTTTCCGCCATATATCGCCAGGTCCAGTCTGTCTGAGTAGCTCGATCAATACATTGGACACTATGTAACTGTTTGAACATGTACTCACCAAGTGTCAAGTAGAAACTGTCTTCAAAATCTTCCACCCTTCAAAGCCAGGTAAATAAAGGAAAGTTAGATTTCAAAATCTTCCATCCTACAAAGCCAGGTAAATAAAGGAAAGTTAGATTTCAAAATCTTCCATCCTACAAAGCCAGGTAAATAAAGGAAAGTTAGATTTCAAAATCTCCCATCCTACAAAACCCGTTACACTTTTCTATAGAGCAAAAACTACATTCTTTTAGCGCAGAATGAGAAAGATCAATGTATAACTTTAAGGCCAGGTATATCAAATAGTCAATGACTTTGAGTCAAATGAACAAACCTTACACTTCCGTGATTAGATTTGGTGAGCCATCTTTCAATTTCTTGCACTTGGCTGGTGACAGCATGAAGACGTGAGCTGCTGTTGGCTTGCGACCTCGCAAAGTCTTGACCATCCAGGTGGACTAGGTCCTCCTGTGTTGAGTCTTCCATCTCACCATAGGCTAGATCATCAGATGCGATGGTCGTCTCTGTCGAGCTGGAGTTTGTGCTGTGGGATTGGACAGTCGGCGAGTTGGTGTTGTGGCTGCTGGCTTTCTTCATGTTTGTTGGTTTGTGAGCTGCAGTCCCGACGGGGGGAACCAATGTGTCTGTGTGGGAATCAACAGCACGAGAGGAAACTGATGCTTTGATACTTGGCAAATTATTAGGCTTTAAATGCGTGAAATCTTCTGATTGATTTTTTCCTTTCACAAAATATTTGCTTGTGTCAGCCTCGGAAAGCCTTTTCATAAAAGACTGCAAATAAAAAAAAAAAAACATTAAATCATGCTTAGAAAAGACTTAAATGAAAATAATAAATAAAAGATCAATTAGAAATCTGTTTATAATGCGAAGCTTCTCGGAATCCGTGAGGTACTTGTAATTGTGGTAGTCCAATGAAATTAGGCCCAGATCCCCTGAATAGACTATAGGAAAAGCCGTTACACGGATCAGATCACCGGAGTAGACTTTAGGAAAAACTGATAGGGAAATAATATCAGATCCTTTTTTAAATCATCGATTAGTTACATTTGTTATTAACATCTTTAAAATAACTCATTAAACATAAAATAGCCTACTCTTGACTTTTATTCATCATTGATTAAAACAAGTTAATAAAAAGTCTAGAGACAATTTAAGCGCAATTTCCTTATGTTATCCATAACAATTTTAAATCGAGATAAATCATATATTCAGCAACGGTGCCCAAATATTAAAACGTTTATATCAGTATTTGACTATGATTAAAACCCGCCCTCTTGTTTGTAAACATTAGCACGTGGAAAAAAACAAGCGACGCGTAGCTCGCCTCTCTCTCTTGCCGCGCGCAGTGACGCGAACGATCCCACGTCGCGACAGGCTAGCCTCCCGTATCAGTCGAAAAAAAGGGGGAAAAAGCCTACACGATGCTCAGTTTAGAAAAGTAGTAATTAATTTTTTGTGACCGAACGAAAGGATATTTTTGAAAACTTTCTTCGGCAATATTGTTCTAAATTATGGCAGGAATCGATTGGTAAATGTTTCAAGTCGCTAAGTGGTCTGGTTGCCGAGATATGGGCTAAAAACTGCATTTTTTCGAAGTTTGTTGGCTTTTCCGGGAAATCCAGGAAGGAATTCCGGGAATTTTTTGGCCCATAATCATCCTCGAAATTTGCTTAACATATTTGCTTTTGAAACTAGTCCTCGATATTGCTTCATTGAGGAGGAGATACGACTTTAAGCTGCGGACATCCATCCATCCATTCCCAGAAATGACGAGTTAATAATCGCAATTCTCCAGAATGGAAATTGCGCTAAAAAAAACCCAGCTAAAGTTGTTTTAAATAAGCAGATAAAAAGGATGTATATGAATTACATTAGTGACCAACCGAAAACTGTATATTACATCAGTGCCAAACCAAAGGCTGTATGTACATATAGGCCTATATATATATATATATATATATATATATATATATATATATATATATATATAATATAGTTATATAATATATATTAGTAGAATTTCTCACTAAATTTTAAATTAAACTATTTCATAATTTTGTAATTTAACCTATTTCATTGCAAAGTACATCGTGAATCATCAAACAACAGAAGTAATCGAGTCCTACTACAGTTTATAATCCAGGGTGTGGGATAATTGTTAGGGGGATATGTCTTACTGCAGTTTATAGTCCAGGGTGTGGGATAATTGTAAGCGGGATACGTCCTACTGCAGTTTATGATCCGGGGTGTGGGATATATGTAAGGGGGATACGTCCTACTACAGTTTATAATCCAGGGTGTGGGATAATTGTTAGGGGGATATGTCCTACTACAGTTTATAATCCAGGGAGTGGGATAATTGTTAGGGGGATATGTCTTACTGCAGTTTATAATTGACCGTGTGGGATAATTGTAAGGGGGATATGTCCTACTACAGTTTATAGTCCAGGGTGTAGGATAATTGTAAGGGGGATATGTCTTACTGCAGTTTATAATCCAGGGTGTGGGATAATTGTTAAGGGGATATGTCTTACTGCAGTTTATAGTCCAGGGTGTGGGATAATTGTAAGGGGGATATGTCTTACTGCAGTTTATAATCCAGGGTGTGGGATAATTGTAAGGGGGATATGTCTTACTGCAGTTTATGATCCAGGGTGTGGGATAATTGTTAAGGGGATATGTCTTACTGCAGTTTATAATCCAGGGTGTGGGATAATTGTAAGGGGGATATGTCTTACTACAGTTTATAATCCAGGGTGTGGGATAATTGTAAGGGGGATATGTCCTACTACAGTTTATAGTCCAGGGTGTGGGATAATTGTTACGGGGATATGTCTTACTGCAGTTTATAATTGACCGTGTGAGATAATTGTTAGGGGGATATGTCCTACTACAGTTTATAGTCCAGGGTGTGGGATAATTGTAAGCGGGATACGTCCTACTGCAGTTTATGATCCAGGGTGTGGGATATATGTAAGGGGGATACGTCCTACTACAGTTTATAATCCAGGGTGTGGGATAATTGTTAGGGGTATATGTCCTACTACAGTTTATAATCCAGGGTGTGGAATAATTGTTAGGGGGATATGTCTTACTGCAGTTTATAATTGACCGTGTGAGATAATTGTTAGGGGTATATGTCTTACTGCAGTTTATGATCCAGGGTGTGGAATAATTGTTAGGGGGATATGTCTTACTGCAGTTTATAATTGACCGTGTGAGATAATTGTTAGGGGGATATGTCCTACTACAGTTTATAATTGACCGTGTGGGATAATTGTAAGGGGGATATGTCTTACTGCAGTTTATGATCCAGGGTGTGGGATAATTGTTAGGGGGATATGTCTTACTGCAGTTTATAGTCCAGGGTGTGGGATAATTGTAAGCGGGATACGTCCTACTGCAGTTTATGATCCAGGGTGTGGGATATATGTAAGGGGGATACGTCCTACTACAGTTTATAATCCAGGGTGTGGGATAATTGTTAGGGGGATATGTCCTACTACAGTTTATAATCCAGGGTGTGGGATAATTGTTAGGGGGATATGTCCTACTACAGTTTATAATCCAGGGTGTGGGATAATTGTTAGGGGGATATGTCCTACTACAGTTTATAATCCAGGGTGTGGGATAATTGTTAGGGGGATATGTCTTACTGCAGTTTATAATCCAGGGTGTGGGATAATTGTAAGGGGGATATGTCTTACTGCAGTTTATAATTGACCGTGTGGGATAATTGTTAGGGGGATATGTCCTACTACAGTTTATAATCCAGGGTGTAGGATAATTGTAAGGGGGATATGTCTTACTGCAGTTTATAATTGACCGTGTGGGATAATTGTTAGGGGGATATGTCCTACTACAGTTTATAGTCCAGGGTGTAGGATAATTGTAAGGGGATATGTCCTACTGCAGTTTATGATCCAGGGTGTAGGATAATTGTAAGGGGGATATGTCTTACTGCAGCTTATAATTGACCGTGTGGGATAATTGTAAGGGGGATATGTCTTACTACAGTTTATGATCCAGGGTGTGCGATAATTGTTAGGGGGATATGTCTTACTACAGTTTATGATCCAGGGTGTGGGATAATTGTTAGGGGGATATGTCTTACTGCAGTTTATGATCCAGGGTGTGGGATAATTGTTAGGGGGATATGTCTTACTGCAGTTTGTAATCCAGGGTGTGGGATAATTGTTAGGGGGATATGTCCTACTACAGTTTGTAATTGACCGTGTGGGATAATTGTTAGGGGGATATGTCCTACTACAGTTTATAATCCAGGGTAGGGTCCGGGGAGGTGGGGTCATTGACATCGCTAATTGATCTGGAGATAAGGACGATGGAAACATGACCAGTTGTTAATGGGGAGGGGAATCACGTCATGTTGCTGTTTTAACTAGCTCCTACCCCATTGAGTAACTTTACGTAACACCTCTATAGGCTACATCACATCCATTCAGTAACTTTACGTAACATCTCTATAGGCTACATCACATCCATTGAGTAACTTTACGTAACATCTCTATAAGCTACATCACATCCATTGAGTAACTTTATGTAACATCTCTATAGGCTACATCACATCCCTTGAGTAACTTTACGTAACATCTCTATAGGCTACATCACATCCATTGAGTAACTTTACGTAACATCTCTATAGGCTACATCACATACATTGAGTAACTTTACGTAACATCTCTATAGGCTACATCACATCCATTGAGTAACTTTACGTAACATCTCTATAGGCTACATCACATCCATTGAGTAACTTTACGTAACATCTCTATAGGCTACATCACATCCATTGAGTAACTTTACGTAACATCTCTATAGGCTACATCACATCCCTTGAGTAACTTTACGTAACATCTCTATAGGCTACATCACATCCATTGAGTAACTTTACGTAACATCTCTATATGCTACATCACATCCATTGAGTAACTTTACGTGACATCTCTATAGGCTACATCACATCCATTGAGTAACTTTACGTAACATCTCTATAGGCTACATCACATCCCTTGAGTAACTTTACGTAACATCTCTATAGGCTACATCACATCCATTGAGTAACTTTACGTAACATCTCTATAGGCTACATCACATCTATTGAGTAACTTTACGTAACATCTCTATAGGCTACATCACATCCCTTGAGTAACTTTACGTAACATCTCTATAGGCTACATCACATCCATTGAGTAACTTTACGTTACATCTCTATAGGCTCAATCACATCCATTGAGTAACTTTACGTAACATCTCTATAGGCTACATCACATCTATTGAGTAACTTTACGTAACATCTCTATAGGCTACATCACATCCCTTGAGTAACTTTACGTAACATCTCTATAGGCTACATCACATCCCTTGAGTAACTTTACGTAACATCTCTATAGGCTACATCACATCCATTGAGTAACTTTACGTAACATCTCTATAGGCTACATCACATCCATTGAGTAACTTTACGTAACATCTCTATAGGCTACATCACATCCCTTGAGTAACTTTACGTAACATCTCTATAGGCTACATCACATCCATTGAGTAACTTTACGTAACATCTCTATAGGCTACATCACATCCCTTGAGTAACTTTACGTAACATCTCTATAGGCTACATCACATCCCTTGAGTAACTTTACGTAACATCTCTATAGGCTACATCACATCCATTGAGTAACTTTACGTAACATCTCTATAGGCTACATCACATCTATTGAGTAACTTTACGTAACATCTCTATAGGCTACATCACATCCCTTGAGTAACTTTACGTAACATCTCTATAGGCTACATCACATCCCTTGAGTAACTTTACGTAACATCTTATAGCAGAGTTTCTTTCAAGCACCCCCCCCCCCCCAACCCGAAGAAAGTCTACCGCCCCCTCGAACGAAATGGAATTTATATAGAAAATATATACTTTTGACATTGTCCGCCCCCCCCCCCCCCCCCTCCCCCCGGAAATCGTTTTCCAACACGGGAAAAGTCACTAAAATCCTGCTAGCTAGAATATTTATAACAAATTAAGGTTATAAAATTGTAATATCAGTCTCTTAAACGAGGCATTTCTCGCTACATTTTTAAGAAATCCGTACCTTATCGAGGTAAATTTGACATGAGACCGACGTTATGTACACACGGGACCTGAGGCCGACGTTACGTACACACGGGACCTGAGGCCGACGTTATTTACACACGGCACCTAAGGCCGACGTTATATACACACGGGACCTGAGGCCGACGTTATGTACACACGGGACCTGAGGCCGACGTTATGTACACACGGGACCTGAGGCCGACGTTATTTACACACGGGACCTGAGGCCGACGTTCCGTACACACGGGACCTGAGGCCGACGTTATGTACACACGGGACCTGAGGCCAACGTTACGTACACACGGGACCTGAGGCCGACGTTACGTACACACGGGACCTGAGGCCGAAGTTACGTACACACGGGACCTGAGGCCGACGTTACGTACACACGGGACCTGAGGCCGACGTTATGTACACACGGGACCTGAGGCCGACGTTATGTACACACGGGACCTGAGGCTGACGTTAAGGGCCGACGTTATGTACACACGGGACCTGAGGCCGACGTTATGTACACACGGGACCTGAGGCCGACGTTACGTACACACGGGACCTGAGGCCGACGTTATTTACACACGGGACCTAAGGCCGACGTTATATACACACGGGACCTGAGGCCGACGTTATTTACACACGGGACCTGAGGCCGACGTTCCGTACACACGGGACCTGAGGCCGACGTTACGTACACACAGGACCTGAGGCCGACGTTACGTACACACGGGACCTGAGGCCGACGTTACGTACACACGGGACCTGAGGCCAACGTTACGTACATACGGGACCTGAGGCCGACGTTACGTACACACGGGACCTGAGGCCGACGTTACGTACACACGGGACCTAAGGCCGACGTTACGTACACACGGGACCTGAGGCCGACGTTACGTACACACGGGACCTGAGGCCGACTTTATGTAAACACGGGACCTGAGGCCGACGTTATGTAAACACGGGACCTGAGGCCGACGTTATGTAAACACGGGACCTGAGGCCGACGTTATGTACACACGGGACCTGAGGCCGACGTTAATGGCCGACGTAATGTACACACGGAATCTGAGGCCGACGTTCCGTACACACGGGACCTGAGGCCGACGTTACGTACACACGGGACCTAAGGCCGACGTTACGTACACACGGGACCTGAGGCCGACGTTACGTACACACGGGACCTGAGGCCGACTTTATGTAAACACGGGACCTGAGGCCGACGTTATGTAAACACGGGACCTGAGGCCGACGTTATGTAAACACGGGACCTGAGGCCGACGTTATGTAAACACGGGATCTGAGGCCGACGTTACGTACACACGGGACCTGAGGCCGACGTTATGTACACACGGGACCTGAGGCCGATGTCCCATATAAATATAGCTAGATCAGAATATCTGCCATTTGTGTATACTTTTGAAATACATACTTATGCAGAAAACATTTTCTGTTTAACGTTAATGTATGAACACAATTTTTTATAAGACGTTAATAAAATTAATGAAGACATATTTTGATGTAAGAAAATAAAATACACAAGTAAAATAAAAGTCGAGAACGAATGCTTTTATTTTTAATACATGGCGTCAGTAGAAATGGAATACGTTGCCAATTGAAACGTTAATTGCAGTATTTAGTCAAATTTCTTGTCGGCGTTATTGTTATCATTTTTTAATAGGCAGATCTTCCAAGTTGATTATTTGATGAATTAGTTACTGGTAAAGTAGAATCTGTCAGCTAATAGTGTTTTGCTAAACTATTTCGTCTCCTAAATATTTCCAATAATCCTTTACTTCTTAGCCATGAAACAGGTTACATTAGAATACAATAATACAATTTTATTAAAAATAAATATTTATTTAAAAAAATGTTTAGTATAATTTTACTTCAGGATGAAGAGTGGCCTCCCTTCAAAATTCCACCGGAGAGTTAAGTTCTAAAATACATTTACAAAACATGAAACGTGTCATCCTTGGAGAGACGACAGGTGCCAACCAACCTGCACCCATTTTGTTAAAATAAAAATATTTTCAAACATAGATGGTCCGCAGTTTGAAACCCCAATATACACTAATGGATGTAATTATTTCACATCAGATGTTAATAATTTATTCATTTATACATATTTTTTCTAGGTTCAAAAAGTGTTTTCGATACGGCACGTTTGGCAAATATTCCTCTTCGAGATTTTGAAGTAATTAATGTTTTTATTCAGAAAATTATGTCAGATCAATTCACAGGTCATTAAGAAATCTTTTTTTTTTGTCGGCAAAAAATAATAAATAAATAAATAAATAAAAAGGAAACAATGATTGAAAACATAAATATCAATGAATACCAGTTTTTTTTAACTGTACTCTTATAGCAATAAATCAATTTCGGAATTAAAATAAATTAATAAAATCAGGAAATTGATGTTAGTCTGGTTATGGGGAAGCGATATATATATATATATATATATATATATATATATATATATATATATATAAATAACATGAACCATCGATCTATTTCTATTGACATTTATAAGACACTTGGCAGTAATGGTAAACAATCCAATTATAATTTTAACCAGTGCTTATATTTTCACGGCTGTTTCTGGTGCTAATATTCACTTATAACCAGGCTAATACTCACCTGTAGCCAGTGCTAATGTTTTCACAAAACACCAAGTGACGCACATTCAACCTTTCATAAACAAATAAAGCATAGCACTTACCATAGTGGCTTTAGCAGCAATGTGACTTCGCTTTTTACTTGAGTCCATTTTGTAGCTAAGAAAATGTAATATCTCTCTATACGAAATATATTACTTTTTTAATTTAGTGTCTATATGCAAATATGGAGGTTTGTGAAAAATATCACATAAATCTAAATATAGCTCTAAACTTAGCACTAACCACAACCAACCACAACAAACACACGAACGCAAACGTAACGCAAACAATAACGCAAATGGAAACATAAACTTAATGCAAACACAAGTACAAATAGAGACGCAATTATATTTAAGAGAACAAACGTAACACAAACATATACTTAAACACGAACGCAAACACAGACATAAACACAAAGACAAACAGAAAAGCAAAAACACGCAAACGCAAATTGACAGACAAACAAACGTTAACAAAAACCCAAACAATAACGCAAATGGAAACAATCTTAAACACAGAATTCATTTAATAACAACGGCTTCTAAACTTTTATTGATCAATAATAATAACTAGTAAACAGTACAGTCAGTATATAAAATGAATTAAATAAATAAAAGGTAGTATTTAAAATACTTTTAATCATCAACTTAGATCTTAGTACAAAAAAATGAACACCTTAAAACTATTATATAACGGCGATCAAGTCAAGTTTTTTTTACTTTGTGCATGTCTTCCACAAACATACATTATGTATACCCGAAACAATAGAAAACTTTTCTCCCCCTAGCTTCTTTCACCCTATATAACAATTAGACTCAATAGATGTACGACAGGGCAAAATCTGACTGTGATCAGTTGAATTAAAGAAAATAACACACAAGTTCATTAAAGAAATGTACCCAGCAACCCTTGAATTAGAGAAAATAACACACAAGTTCATTAAAGAAATGTACCCAGCAACCCTTGAATTAGAGAAAATAACACACAAGTTCATTAAAGAAATGTACCCAGCAACCCTTGAATTAGAGAAAATAACACACAAGTTCATTAAAGAAATGTACCCAGCAACCCTTGAATTAGAGAATACTTAGATGACTCGGATGAAGAAGCTAATGAAATGAGATTGATGACCAGCTTGCAAAACGTGGGGGACATTCAAAACAGCCAGAAATATTGCTACACCAGAAAGACATGCGAACAATAACATAACTAATATTTCTGGAGAAGACTCAGCAGTTGGTCTGCGATGTTGGTCTTGTTATCTGATTCATACAATGTAATCATTTTCTTAACAAAGAATAGCGTAACAGGATAAGTCAGTCAATAAGAAATAGTAATGAAGTCTCGATAAAATACTCGATATTTATTGACTTTCCAATTTTTACACTACGACATTGCAACTTAAGAGACAACATTGTTGTAACATTTGAAGCAGTAGGTTATCATTCATACACATAGAATTTTTGGCTGTTTTATTTAAACAAACCAAACGTTCAACGTCGAACATATTTGATAGAAACTGTTATTCGTTTTAATTAGGTTTGATGACTTTACAGTATTTCAGTTAATAATTATGTTTTTACTGGCTATATTAATAATTGAGTAGAACTCTATATCCTTTTTATAATTATGATTTTACTGACTGTATTAATATTTTAGGCTATCCTTTTTATATTTATGATTTTACTGACTATGTTAATATTTTAGTTTATCCTTTTTATATTTATGATTTTACTGTAAAAGCCGTCTACACAACCACGTCAATCCTGCTAGTAAAAATGATGGGTCGTGCATGATGTCATATTAGTTTCTCACGATATCGTCTTAAAAAATGACACCTCTAACAACTGGTGCTAAGGTAAGTTCCAGGTACTAACTACCGAAGGTAACGATGAAAAGAAAAGAAAACACAATTTACCTTGATGTGTCCACACGTCAGTTTTAGTGTAGTGTCCGAGGGGGTCAGTCTGTCTCAGGCTGTAGAAGGGTAGCTTTTGGAGACATTTGACAAACCAAAACGTCCATCACGATTGTAATAAATTATAGACTTGTTAACTTATTATACTCTAACTAGCGATCCAGTCCCGCGCGCTAGGGTCAACGCGAAGATGCGCAACGGAAAACTGCGCACAAAAAAAAGTGCGCAAGGGCATTTTTTCCCCCTTAAATCGAGCATTTATAGACATTAGTAACGAATTACCACATGTATATTGTATCATAATAAAGCACTTTTCACGAAATATGACAAAACTGAAGAGTAGGCCTATGTGTATAAATAGTTTGTATTTGTGCATTTTTTCTGTTTGCGCATCTTTCTGGGAACCGTCCCTATTGTATTGTACTCTTTAAAAAAATGTAGGTGCCATTGTGCTCGCGCCAATTCGCACCCTGCCGGGGCACAGCCCCTCGAAAATTGCAAGTTTTTTTTTTTCGCGAAGAAACTTTTCAAAGTAGGCCTATTTACTTTACTTTGAGAACTGTAGGCTTGATTTTGTTACATTATTTTTTTATGGACAGAGGGAAACAACACATGAATATTTTTGAAAAATAATCTAAACATGGTTAATTCTTCTGATTGTATAAAAGTCAATGATATTCTTTATTATTATTTAAGGGGCCCTCGGGGGGATATTGAAAGGTCCTTGGGTGGCCGAAACTGATTTTTTTTATTCCAATGAAACATTCCCCAGGGTGGTCTCATCAACTCTCCAAAAATTCAGTTGTAATTCATAAATGAAATCAAGTTTTTTGACGTCATAAAAAAGCTAGACCCTCGTCTAAAAACATTCACACACCCAGTGCCGGCGCCAGGTTATTTCGCGCCCTAGGAAAAACTTATTAAAATGCGCCCCCATACACACACACATATATATATATATATATATATATATATAAATATAAATATATATATATATATCTATCTATCTATATATATATATATATATATATATATATAAATATAAATATATATATATATATCTATCTATCTATATATATATATATATATATATATATATATATATAGGCCTATATATATATATATATATATATATATATATATATATATATATATATATATACATATATATATATATATATATCTAATATATAAAGCTCAGTTCTGTAACGTGTGGCAAAAACAAAAAAAGTTTGTCGTTGACACTTCTACGGATTTAAGTGTTAGATTTTTTATCGTGCTCATAGTCTACATTTACGAGTCAAAAAATTACCATTGAAAGTCTTTAAAAACAATTTTCATTCTATTTACTTAGAAGAATAATTTTTAATTATGAACGCGACATAAAATTTTTAAAAAGTGTATCGACGTTTATAAAATTTCTAAAATTGTGTCGGAAATGTATTGACTGCACAGTTACTTCCCTTTAATAAAAAAAAATTCTTAAGAAGAGAGAATTAACATTTTATTACTTTGTTTTTGGTGTTAAGAAAAAAAAATAATTACACAATTAGCGGGGATTGATTAAGTGCAATGTCGTTAGGTATTTTTAACACTGCCTTTTATTTATTCTATACACTGAACATACTGTTCAATAATTATTATTTTTTTTTAAAATCAATAACATTTAATAAGCCAGGTCCTACAAATCCTATATGTTTATTTCTTTCCATTTACGGATAAGCTTGGAGTATTATCATTTTTGTTCACTAAATTGAAACAGGCGCGTCCGCCGGCGCCCTTGCACGGTTCGATTTGGCTCCCTGGGCTATCATGTGAGCGCTATGCTGCATAGTTTTGTTTTTAACAGTGCGATAGACTATGGGTAAGAAAGGTTACTATAGTCTTTAAGTGAATCAAATCCGGGCGTCCTCCGGCACCCCGACAGGGTGCTATTTGGCGCCCCGGGCCTTCCGGTGTACGCTATGGTATATACGTTCGCGTGAGTTCAAAAGACTATGAATAAGTTATGTACTATAGTCGTTTACTAAGTTCAATCAGGCGGTGATGTCATGGTGCGTCCTCTGGCGCCCAGACAGGGTGCTATTTGGGGCCCCGGGCCTCCCGTGTTCGGTTTCGCGCCTACGTTCATTAAAGTGAGTGCAAAAGACTATGAATAAGTTTGGGTACTATAGTCGTTTATTAAGCTGAAACAGGCGATTCCGCCCCGGGCTAGACTCTGAGCACTGTGCGTTTATGTTCGCGTTAGTGTTTTTTTTGTGTTTAGGTTGGGTTTGCGTTAGTGGTTGCGTTTTGATTTGGTTCGTTTTTGTTCTTTCTTTTTTCGTTTTCGTTTGTGTTTTATCTTCTTTGCGTTTGTGTTTGTATTAGTGTTTGTGGTTGGTTTTGCGTTTGTATTTGGTTTGTTTTCGTTTGTTTTTTCGTTTGTGTTTTTTTCTTTGGGTTTGTGGTTGGTTTTGCATTTGGATTTGGTTTGTTTTCGGTTGCTTTTTCGTTTTTTTTTTTTCTTTGTGTTCGTATTGGTGTTTGTGGTTGTGGTTGGGTTAGTTGTTAGGTTTTTGTTTTCGTTTGTATTTGTAATTGTGTTAGCTTTATGTTTGCGTTTTGTTGTTTTGGTTTGGGTTTGGGTGTGCAATGCCGGGTTTATGATGATTACTAAACACACAGGTAATGGTCTTTAACAGAAAGGTTTTTCACAGAAGCCAGAGCAGGGCCTGGCCGGGACGGCTAGTATATATATATATATATATATATACATATATATATATATATATATATATATATATATATATCTATAATATAACGCTGCTGGTAGTGTGTCAGTCCTTCCTTCCTTCTGTCACCGCTATAGCTTTTGGAATCATAAAAGTAAACATTCGCACCATGCTGTGCTTTTCAGTGCACCGCAGTGTCTTATTATAAGTATAAGAGTAGGGTTTGTTTATATAGCGGCATAGAGCTATTTTATAATTTCCACTGTTTGTACAATTTTGCATAACGTAAAGAGAATATTAAATACACGCACATTGCTAAAACATATTAAAAGGATCAATGTCAAATATAGTTTTCGTTAATATTCCTAGAAAAAGTGGATACATTTTAATAACATAATAACAGTACGGTAGAAAAATCAAATTAATGTAACTCTTTTCTAATTTTGACAAAGGAGGTAATTTAAAAATACATTAAACTCACGCTAATAAAAAATGTGAATGCAAATATACGTTCGTCATAGAAGGAATTAGTGTTGCAATAATATAATTAGCAAAATGTGAATGCAAATTATTCGGATGTGTAAGAGGAAATTATTGTTAGAAAATTATAATTAGCATGGATTGATAAAAGGCAATCTCTTATTTATTTTATTCACTGAATGTAGGCCCTACTGTTTATTACTTATAATTTTTAATCAACTATTCAGCACTATTATAGACGCGTCATCACGTTCATTAGGTGCGCATTGGTTTTAGTTATGAAACTCTATTGTAAATTTTTAAAATTTAAAGTACTGGAAAAAAATGCGTGAATGGATAAAGTGAAATATTGTATATATTATAGATATTGCCTATTATTTATACTGTTTTCTAATTATTATTCTATCTTTCGGGTTTTATAGGAGAGGCGTAGCGAGGGGGGGGGGGCATATGTCCCCGGGTGCCGACCTTGGGGGGCGCCAAAGTGGGTTGTAAAACATTTGCGAGGGGGGGGGGGGTGGTGGAAATCGAAGGTTTTAGGGCGGGGGGGGGGGAAAGGGGTGCAAATCGAAAGTTTGAGGGGGGTGCAAATCACCGGAAAGGGCGCGATTTGGCGCTACGGGCTAGACTGTGAGCAATATGCCTTTATGATTGCATTTAAATTGTGTTTATGTTATGAGTGTTGTGTTTGTTTTTTCGTGGTTTTTTTTTTTTTTTTTTTTTTTTGCGTTCGTTTGTGTTGTGTTTAGTTTTGTTCTGTTCCCAAGTTGGTACATTTAAAAAAGATTTACCGTGGCGGAGCACGGGATGCAGCTAGTATATATATATATATATATATATGCATATATATATATATATATATATATGCATATATATATATATATATATATATATATATATATATATATATATATATATATGCATATATATATATATATATATATATATATATATATATATATATATATATATATATATATGCATATATATATATATATATATATATATATATATATATATATATATATATATATATATATATATATATATATATATATATATATATATATATATATATGCATATATATATATATATATATATATATATATATATATATATATATATATATATATATATATAATAGTTTCGCTGTCTCTCTATCTATCTATCTATCTGTCTGACAAGAACGCTCTAGAGAAAACACAAGCAAAATAAAAACATGCACAGTAATTCGAAAAACGAAATATGACGTCGACACATTTAGCATATTAAAGTTGAAAATAATCTCAAGGCGGAAAGTGCACACAGTAATGACGTCATTGATTATCGCGTAAACATTGAATAAACAGGAAATGTCTAATCTAAATGGTTTGCGTGAAGAGTTTCTTGCATACAATTCTTCGGGTAGGGGCGAAGCCCCACCCCCCGCGTAAGAACGTCTGAGGGGGGTGGGGGTGGGGGGGGGGGGGTTGAGTGGGGGGTGGTTTTAATTTAGACTTTTTCCTCCCCGGAGAGGGGTGGGGGTACTTGAAATTTTCGGGGGCGGGGGTAGAATTTTCGGGGAGGGGGCGGACACTGGAAAAAGTATATAATTATATTTCGTTGAATGGGACGGTAGACATGTTTTTTTAGGGGGGGGGGGGGGTTGTGGGTGGGGGGTGGGGGGAGGGGGTGGTGTGTGGGGGGGGGATGGGGGGTGAGTGGGGGGGGGGGTGGTTTTAATTTAGACTTTTTCCTCCCCGGAGAGGGGTGGGGGTACTTGAAATTTTCGGGGGCGGGGGTAGAATTTTCGGGGAGGGGGCGGACACTGGAAAAAGTATATAATTATATTTTGTTGAATGGGACGGTAGACATGCTTTTTTTTGGGGGGGTGGGGGG